TCCACAGGTGGAGCATCACTCGCATGGACAGAAAGATGTTCCATGACCGTCTGCCAGACGGGAGCTGTTGGTGTCATTACATAACACAGCACGGGATGTTGTACAAATCTCACGAGCCACGGTTCAAGCCAGGTGAGCGAGGCAAGTATCAAGATCGTAAATCCGGTTCCTGACCTCGTGCGTGGTGAGAGTGATGGATTCTTTGGCGCATAACAAAGAGTTCTCGTCTCACTGCTCTCATTGGCCGAGGAGCTTGAACTGGGTACCGCGATCGCTCTGGTCGTGCACGGACGTTGGATTGCCGAGCTCAACCAGAGCTACGATTTCATGAAAGATGAGGCTGGTAGGACATGATGATGAGTCTGATGAGGTGACGACGAGACTGGTGTCTGGTTTGATGTCTAGAGATAGTATTGAAGGGTCTGTATTGAGTGCCTGGTCTGGATTTCTAGTAGACATTCGGCATACTCCTCGATGAATCTAGAAAAAGCAAAGCTCGCTCTTCACACGTGCTGGCAGATCGAGCGACCCGGACAGTCTCCATGCAAGATCCTCTCATCTAGATCGGTCGGATATTTGCCACATAGCTGCATGCTGATACCTGAACAACCACCGATCTAGGATACGAGCACACACAATACTGAAACCAGACTTCAACTCACTTCATCTTCCACAAGTCACTTATCGCTTGCCGACATGACCGTCTTCTACATAGTATTCCAAAGTGCGTACTGCATCCTCCTACTCTCCAGACCGTTATCAGCGGGTATTTTCTTTTCCTTTTTTCGAGCGTGCCGCCGTTCGTGATTTTTCTTTGCCTGATTCCCTCGACCAGCATAGTACTGTGATACTGTCTCTATGGGTACAGTATCTTTATGGAGCTCATGTCGAAATCACGTCAGCTTGATTTCTACTATGAATGTAGCCCCAAGGAAGTTGACTCTCATTATCCATATCCATGTACACCTACACAAGCTAGCTCATGTACTAACAGTCACAAACTACTTTCGGAAATTTACTCTCCATCCCCCACCCTAGCACCATGTTTGTTGCCACTTGCAGTCTTTATGCTTTCGTGGCTGATCGCTGGTGGCTGGTGCACGGAGGTTATGGCTCGTCGACAGCTCAGACGGCCAGCAACGTCTCATCTTTCTTTTCCCCATTGGCCTTGACATGGTGATTTGACTTTCGCTAACAGTGCGTCTTGCATTGGATGACGGGTTCCGCCATGTTTAGCTCCACGCTCGGAGATTTTTCCAACGAGCCTTTCCGTTTGCTTGAACTTTCCTGCTTGTCTGAGGACTCTCCTTCTACCTGGTTTCAAATGCACTTCCTGAGATGCTCTCCCGGCTAACTACCTCATAAACACGAGGTGATCTGTTCCATCAAGTCATTGTACAAAGAAGTATGTTTTGTTCGGGATACTCTTAGCGGGTCCCTGAAACATGGTCCTTTACTGGCTTCCGTTCTCATTTCCTTCAGTCTTCTTCATCTTCTCCACCTCTCTATACAACAGGCCAGGTTTTCTACCCCCTCCAAAGTGATTTCATTGAGGAGCGTACTATGGAGTGTCCGGCTCCCAGACCAAGACCCACCTTGGTGGAGACTCCCATGCCTTCAGTCGATATTCCATGATCATACAGAACTCAAGGCCTCAAGGCCACAAGACTCATGGAAATCAGGGACCCGCGTTCCCATGGCCCACGCCCGTTGCGCTCCCCCGGCTGCGTTAGTTTGGCCCAAGCAGTGAATAGTGAATACTAGCCGGGTAAATTGTGCTTCTGAGATGCTCACAGCCCAAGAGCCGCCCGCTTCTAGGCTCCAGTTTTGTACTTCACACGAAAAAGTGGCTCCCGATGCACTACTAGTCTCCCTGGTGATTTTAAGTTTCCTGCTGAAAATGAAGGGTTACTTCAACAAGCGCCGCATGTGCTGCCCCGTATTGTGTCTTCAGTCTTGCCGTGGTCATCAACTACCCCGAATTGTTTTAGAATTCCTTTTTTTTTTTTTTTTTTGGTTTTGTTTTTCTTCAATTACTTTGCCTTGCTCGTGCGGTCTTCACAGTGTCCTTGCGGCGCTGTAGCTTCTGAGTTCCGTGGTTCTGACCTCGGTCCCCGAGTAGGATCATGGTCTGACTCCGTTTTTGTCATGATTGACTCTTCTTCTTTTGCTGTTGGGCCCTGCCTCTAGCTCCTTCATCGCCTGCAGCAACTCTGTGGACGATTATACCAAAGAGGATCTCCCGTCCGCTCTGTGGTCCTGTGACTCTATTTCCGTTGCATTTCCCCCTCGCCCGTCAACGCTATTTTCTTGATCTAAAATCGATAGTACCTTGGAATTCTTCTGGTCAGTGCATTATGACTTGGCCCAAGGCAACGCTTATGCAACGAGACACAATTTCCTGTATTGATTTTGTTCTGTCGGAGATGACCACTTCTCCATGTCCCCAATAGAGCCCTTTCTCGCTTGACTGCTGCTCGCTTGCGGCGGTCTGAATCCCGTATGCTTGAAGTTGAACTCCTCATGCAAAATCAGGGTCTCATCCATCTGATACTCATGGCTCGCGTCATGCAGATCATCACCACCCGGTTTGATTTTTCTACACTCGCAAGCTTGTCCATGTAATCAAACGGTTCGCCCCATAGTTCGCTTTTCACCCTTCATTTCCTCTGCACCGGTCGTGCTAGGCACTGCAATGTTCGTGCAAACGACGTGTTCTCTGCAGATGAACCATAGACTCTGAAAACACATGTGTTTGACTAGCTGAGGAGAACTCTAGCCCTAGCATAGGCTAGTTGAGTTTCTTCTGACTTCTGTACCTCTATCAGATGCATTGTGATGGTCCGTTCCCTAGCCCTGTCGGGTACGGTCCAAGCTACCGCTGGAGCTGTTTAGCTTTTCAACGTTCCAGGTTGGTCCATCCGTCTTCAACGGCTGATTTCCTCGGCCGTGAGGAGGAGATCGACAGTAGTTAAAAGATCCTTCCACGTATCTGCTGTTTCAGAGCACAGTATGAAAGGACGATGTGGATTCCACGGACGTGAGGAAGCACCAACGGTTGATTGACCTGCCGATCATATTAGCTATGAAAGATAGACCATCGAGAGAATTGGTCCGGTTCGAGCCCCAATGGGCAAAGTCAGCTCGATGGAGTGGGATTCCCGGAGATGCGGTGGAAGGCAGGGTCCTACCTGATAGTTACATGAACTACATGACTCACTGACTATGGCCAAGGGCGGATGTTCCAGCCACGAGACTACTGATTCCAGACGGGGAACCGATACCTGACTCGACAAAAGTAATCTACAGATACGATCCATTTTCAACGTTCCATTCGGACTGGAATGATCCTCGACAGTCGTCTCCTGAGAGGCTTGGATGGGGCTCTGGTGGATCCTTCCTAGTTGGGGCGAGTACTGGAGACTGGAGAGCATCCAGTGAACATCGGCAGCGCATCTGAAATTCTCCGGTCAATTTAGGAATTTCCAGCTGTTTTCTTTTTTTTGGTTACTTTTGATTTCGTGATTCTACGTCTGATGGCGGTGGTGAATTTCCCGTTATTTCCACTGCCGACATCTGCGGTCTCTCCACGGGTGGGACTTCCCTCTTGGTCTCTCTGCCTCTGCCACTTCCGTTCTGTCTCTCTGCTCTGTTTTCCTCTTTCTCTTTCTCTCTCTCTCTCTCTCTTTTTTATGGTGTTCAACTTGGCCCGTGGCTTCGACCCAGATCCGATGGATCTGCTCCGGCCCTGAGCGGTGTCATCGAAGTTTCCACTTTCTTCCATGTCTGGGTCCCAGTGGCCCTACACCCGTTGAAAGCCTCCTCCACTTGCCCCAGGGCCCCAGTGTCCATTCTGGGACTATCCCCGGCTGATCCTGGCGACCCAGTCTGCTCGGCCCAGATACAGTGCCAGGGACTCATCTGCTGAAGGTTTCCATTCATGGAACATGTGGGTGGCCCTCATTTGTTCTCTCTGGCCTTCTGCACTTGTATAGCGTCGACTCATCTTGGCCTGCCAAGCTGCGTAAGGATCATCACCGGCAGGAATAAGGTGTGATATGTGCCCAAGGGTTAAAGCGAGACGATCTACCTGACCCAATAGCCCCAGAGCAGACCATCGCAGACGAGTTGCGACGGTTGTGAGAGAAAAGCACGTTCACAATGTGGCGGTGGTGTCCCGCTTTCTTGGTGACTCGGCTCTTGATTTCCTGCTTCAGGGATCGCTGACTTCACAATTGGCGGCTGAGGAGAAAGAACTTGATCTCTCTCTCTCTCTCTCTCTCTCTCTCTCTCTCTCTCTCTCTCTCTCTCTCTCTCCCTCCCTCTCTCTCTCTCTCTCCCTCTCTCTCTCTGTGTGTGTCTCTCAGTTCTTTTCCTCTTTCTTTCTTCGTCTCAACCCGCTTGATCTTGCTCTAAATTGGTCTGCTCTGTTCTCCCTCATTGCATTGTCATCAGCAAGCTTCCTCGGTTGTCTCCTCAAAGATAGCTGTCCCGCGGCCCGGCGCCTACTGCAACGTCTCTCAACGTCTATTCACTGCATGGTCTTTCGTGACCTTTATCTCCCCTATCGTGGATCTTGCGACTTTCTCCGAATTGCATAACTCGCCGAAGAATGGCTGTGCATTTTAATTCGAGTTCACCCTTGATTGTATTTTAATTTGCATTTCCATCCCACTAGGAACCCTAAGCCCGTTGGGCAAGCGCTCCGGCACTTTGACCAGACCCACCGAACGTCTCATCTTCTCAGGAACACGCTTTAGCGTTGGGATCGTTTATTATTACTGTTGCTCTCCTCAGCAAGCTTATTTTTCACTTCTCCGCGTGATCTGTCTTGCCACAGTCGTCAAGATTTCGGGGGGGCTCTTTTGTCGTGGAGTTTTGTCTTCCATAATCTCTGCCGAACACTTATAGTCAGAGTCTCTTGAGCCACCTTTATTGTCGACGACTTGACTGTCTTCACTCGCACAGAACGAAGGACCTGTGGATCAAAGCTCCTGATCATGTCCACCGGGGGTCCCTGTCTTTGGGTTTCTTCTCTGTCTGCACAAATTCCCTCATCACTGTCCGCGGTTCCATCTCATCTGGCTGCGGTATCTCGTCACGCAGAACGGGTTTCTGCGACGCCGCGACGAATTCTGTCGATGCCACAACTGCCCAGGCAGGAGAGTCATCTCGCGCACATCAATAAGTCAATGGCAGAGATGCAACGTCCTCTCGTGGCCGACAATGCTTTGCCCAACCCAATGCCGGGTCTGGAACGATCGGCGGAGATGGGAAGCTACCGTGATGGAGTGTCGGCGTCTCGACAGCTGGCGGAGAAACCGCCTGTTGAAATGAGGGAGATGAGGTTGCCTCAAATCAATCTCAACACCCGCGACGACGGTCACGCTGATCAGGCGGCCTCAATGCACCCGGCCGGGACCGATCGTCCTACAGATGCCGTGCACGCTTCACAAATGGATTTTGAAAAGCATGGTGATCATGATCATGATTCCCCCAGCAGTCCAGTCGACGACAAGGGCGAGGAGGCGGAGGAGAATGACGACAACCAGTCATCCATTATCGATAAGAAAAAGATGAAAAGATTTCGGTAAGAACGACTCTCGATGGATGAGTGAACATCGCTTTGCACCAGCAGTGTTGGTCTAACCTTTGCCCGCCGTCGGGTATGACAGACTCACGCATAATCAGACTCGTTTCTTGATGAGCGAGTTCACCCGTCAAGCGCATCCTGATGCTGCTCATCGTGAGCGCCTATCAAGGGAAATCCCCGGACTAACACCCCGACAGGTTCAGGTGTGGTTCCAAAATAGGTACGCAATAGTCAACTGCCCTGCAGTGATCTGGCAGCGCAACTGGACGTTTGGATTCACACACTGACAATATGCACATCAATCAGACGTGCCAAGTTGAAGCGACTGACCACAAATGACCGCGAGAGAATGCTGAAATCACGAGCTTTACCGGACGATTTCGATACCACAAAAGTCTTGCGCACGCCATTTGAAAGCAAATCCATCATTCCAAATCCCATGGGCACTCCACATGATTTTGGAGCTCCAAATCCTGATTTCGCCTCTCTGAGGGCTCTTCGCACCGACTGCTTCCCCAGACCCAATGAAGACGAGTATATGACATCCCCTCTCAGCTCCGCATCCACTGCTGGGACCTACATGTCCTCTGCTGGACGGAGTGACGGGCTGCCTAGCTCCGGGATGATGTTCGGACGCCCGACAGCTTCAGCATCAATGTCGGATCTGCATAGAACCATTCGCAACGACTATTCCATTACCCGATCCAGCAGCTTATCGGATGGATCCTCACATCCCGCTTCTTTCCAACCCACTTTACACATGCAAAATCGATATGCCTCTACAACACATTCAGGCCTACCATACATGCGACAGCCTGTCATGGACTTTACATTCCCGCGCCATTCGGGATCAATGATACCTCACTTTGAGCAACAACAGCCCCAACAGCCTTTCGAGGGCTCTGTGTCGCCTACAAACTCGAATGGACAGCCCATCGGCTATGACATGAACAATATCAGTAAGCTTTGCATCCATAGACAAGCATTTGAAACATCTTGGAATATCACCTCTGACCCTGCTTGTGATTTATTAGACGCACATCCGAAAACTTACCAGCCCCAACAACAGTATCCCATGTCGGCTCTCAAACCCTACGGGGCCCATACCACGGGTTCCCAGATTCAACCGCAAGGTCTCACCATGTCTGCCGTACATTCCCTTCCCGCCTCTACCCAAGCTTTCCGACCTTACTCATACGCAACCACCTCGGCTCCCTTGAGCAGCATGCCATACGCCACAGCAAATACATCCGCTATCAGCCTTCCTGCCTCCTTCGGCCCAACGGACGCCAACGCAGCCTCTCAAGATGTGGTCCCGCAACAATCACAGGGTGTCGATTCACTTTGTAACAAACTTGGAAGCCAATCTTACAATTCCTACTCCAGTTACCTTCAACAATAGGGTTGCTCTTTGGCCATCACCATCGCTCTATCAGGCAGGCCTACCCACAACACGTCTGCCTGTCATCGGCTGATCGAATCTGGATATATGGTCTCCAATGCCGATTACTATCTATCTGCGTTGCACTACGGACCCAGTGCATGCAACCCACCATCTTTAATACTATTTCCATTCGCGTCTCCCTCGTTTCTTCACTTCTTATCTTGTCTTCACTCATCCAATTTCCACACTTTTTGCATCATTTCGTGATCATTCTCTCAAAACATTGCGCTGGGCATTTATCATTCATCATTTGATCTTGTTTTTCTTGGCTTTTTTTTCTTCCCCATTCTCTTCATCTGAGCGAGTTTGTCGTGTTCTATTGCGAGCGTGTCGTTTTCCACCTTCTGTCATTCTCCTCGACAAAAAAAAGCCTTTCATTCGTTCCTGTTTTCTGTGTAAAATTATTGAAAGCTTCTCAAATCTCAATTACAATCAAGACTCTTCGGTACTAGGGCTGGACATCTTCCAGCTCTTTGCCTTGAAATTACAATCCTCGGCCACTGCCACATCCTGCACGTGATGCATCGACTCATTTACAAAGCAAGACAATGGATGCATTTAGTAGACACCTATCTCTTCAACTAAGATCAGTATCCTCGTTTTCTGATGTCACAGTAAAAACAGGATCTTTTGCTTTTCCTTTCCTCTTCGCCTCCAGTGCAGCTTTTTTTTAAACGCGTTCTTCCCTTTTTTAGAAGCACCGCCCCCGTCCACCTACTATGCATCTTCTATTTAAATAGTTAATAAACTACGAGTTTCATATAGATTAACCTACCATCCTAATGTGTACTCCCTACTCAGTACTATAGCCCCACTCCCAACAGCCAACAACCAACAACCATCAACTAAATGTAGATCATAAGCCCTCGGGTTCGGGCTGTCATCTATCTCGCTGATTCTGCCGAGGGTCAAACAAATAACCCGTGAACTGTGACTGGTCCGTGTGGGATAGAATATAATACATACAACTTGGAGTAGATACTAAAAGTAGGTAGGTAGACAGGGCGACGTTACCTCGTAGCTTAGCTGAATCAAGGTGAATCAGGTACTTTCCGATATTCAGTCGCGTCCAGACAGCGGAGCTGAAGGGGGAATAAGATCAGAGTACCGTGGACGTGTGTTGGCCTTTTACTCTGGCTGACTGGATGGTATCTGTGTCGGTTTACCGCGGTTCGACTGCTAGAGCTCATGATTCGTGATTCATGATTCATGACTCAGGAGGGTTCTCACGATTCACTCTTCGCCTCGACTATTTTGTTTCACCGTACGTGAATGACTTTGGCTCGACTTAACTCGGTCGGGGTGTCTCGTCTGGACTGGAACATGAGCAAGCGGGGACTTGTCTGATTGATGGACCGAAATAAACATTCTGCAAAGAGTTAGACGCTCAATCCAATACTCTTCCAGTTCTCCATATCCATAGAGAGGAGGTATAATGCCACTATATGCTCATTTCTGGTGTCGTAGTGTGTAATTGTGTACGTCCACGCTGGCAAAACCCGCTTCCGCTTTGTGCAGGTCAAGCTGGAGGGCATTGGACCTGGCGGGCAAAACATCATGTGATTGATTAGAAGGGGTTTTTATCTTTCTTGCTTGTAGGTTTTGCTTCGTCTGTGCTTGTTTTTTTGCATTTTAATACCGTCTCACATATCAATGGACTAGTACAGTGAAGCTTGTTTTTGTCTTTTTGAGAGGCCGTCTAGATCCGCCATCACCTTAAGACTCGCTCTAGAGACCACTTTTCATTCTGGAGCGTTTATTGCAGCAGGACGAAACAGATATAACGCACACATAATGCGAATCGTAAGATAGTGAGAGGCGATTGTGTAGATGACCCGGGAGGAAGCAAGCTACATGTACACAGAGAAGCGAGAAAGTGAAGACAGAGCGGAAATTCAACCTTCAACACATGTCGAGCTGTCAAGATAGAGGCACGCTCAACATACTGGGGCTCTTGCTTTCTGAATACCAGTGATGCTCGCTTCATGCAACTGGTCAAGGTCGATAATCGAAACAAGTGCGTTTCTTTTCTGAGAATTGGAAGGTTGGACGGCCCAGTCACTGTACGACGCCATACCCTGGGCAACTCCGAATTTCCAGATCAGATCTAGGTTCTTCTCAGTAAAGGGCTTTGCCAGATAGACAAGTTTCTGACAAAAGCACGCAGATAGCGTCGTCAAGCCGGCTGAAAACGAGGCAGCCAATTCAGCGCCCAGCAAGCCCTTACGAACCAATGCGTCATAGGTCTCGGCCTTCTTTAATCCATGGATGGAATCAATGGGGATCGATTCTGCATCTTTGACGATTAAATCATTAGTGTTGCGCCACAGTAGTAGCCTATCAACATCTCGTCAGCATAGCTGCTCGAGCTTTCAAGAAATTTGACGTATACCAAGGTACTGATCTAGTAGGACTACCTAGCAAGGGCACCTACCATCAGTTAGGTAGGTATATTGCGATCTCTCAGGCTGGCCTCCTGCGACTTCGTACCACTTTCTGGCGTGTGTCTGGGTCTTGGTATAGCCATGAGCCTTGCATATCTACAACTAATGAAGACTGCTACTATCGAGAGCTGATGAGATATATCTGAGCGGCTTGTCTGTGAACACATTCATGGCAGTAGGGTGGATTAACAATTTGGGTAACAAAGAGAGGAACAAGGTACCTCTTTAAGTAACAGTCAAGTAAGATAGGAATCAGCGTTAACCAAGGTATATGGCCAATGTTGCTTCCCCATTCATTTAAGAGTCCACTTGAACAAGCACGCCGGCGGCCGGCCTAATGGAATGACCAAAAGGGGCCGAACATTGTGCTTTCGGCTGTCATCTGAGAACTCATTTTTCCTGGGCTTCGAAGTTGGCAATTCGATTCATTTTCAGCAGCGCATCTCCAAGGCTCAGAAGAGATTCATTAGAACCGCCAATCGTCTAAAACCGACTCTGGGAACCATGCACTTTGGTCGCTCTTCATCGTGCCAAGACTGATCGAGTAAACGTGATTCAGTCTGGGCACATTGACGGGCTGCCAAACCTTATTTCTCCAGGACTCACTGAGAATGCCGGACAATCTACCGGAAAACAAATTGAAACATTAAACATCTACTGCAAAATCTGAAGTCTTTTGGAAGTCCTTTGGATCATTCACACAAAATCACACCTATTGATATATCATCCCAACGTCGGCTGCTGCAACTCATTAAATATCCCGTTGAACCAAATATCAAAATCAATCTCATCCGAGTTCCACGAAAACTGCATCTCATTCGTATCCACGCTGCGGAAGTCATCCGGGCTATTGCCCGACAATTTCCCAAAGGACAGATCGTCATCCGGGAGTAAATTGGCCCTGCTCAACGTTGAAAAGTTGGCAAAGATTCGATGAAAGTCGATGTGGCCGGCTCGTTTCCGTTCTTTCGGTCCGAAATGAGCCTCTTCAGCGATTAAAATGGCGTCAATTAGGGCGACGCCGCGCTGGGCTAGGATGTCGTGGTTGCGGGAGGCGAGACGTTCGCGAGCGGAAAGGACGGCGTCCCTGTACATTTCGATTTTGCCGTCAGAGGGGTTGTCTACGGTGGCGTTGACTTCGAAGCAGAGGATCACGGCGGCGGTGATGGCGAAGGCGGTGTGCGTCCAGATCGAGAGGTCTTCTTCGTTGGCGATGGATTCGTGTTCGCGGAGGATGGTCATGGCGGCTGCGATGCACGTCCGTCTGGTGTGGCCGTAGGTTGGGTCGTGGAAGGAACGGAAGAGGAAGGGGCGGTGGATCATGATGATCTTTTCGGCGGCAGTGATCGCGAGACTTCGACGGACGATGCTCAGCCAGGGGATTTTAGATTCTTTGGCTTTGTCGGGTCGAAGGAGAAAGGATGGGATTCCTTTGACCACGGCGCGCATTTTCTGGTCTACTTGGAGGATGTGTTGGTATTGCTCGCGACGCGATTTTCGCTTGTTCATAGGGCCCAATCCGTCGCTGAGACCGGGCATGAGAGCGGCGAGCTCGACGAGGACCCGGACATAGGTGCTGGTGGTAGGGACGTTGGTGGGTAATTCGGTAAGAGTTTGCTCGTCGGCGTTCAAAGGGCGCCCGGTCGAGTATTGTAGGGGAGAGATGCTATAGGTGTCGGTAAAGGGGATGGCAAAGTGATCCTGGATGATCATCTGGCACCAGACCCGTCTGCCCACTTCTCGTTCGACCCGTTCCTCCCACTGGTCTTGGCTTTGCATCATGTACGATGGGTGGTCTTTGATTTTGTGAAGTCCCAAACACTCTGCGATTCGGACCGCGGCGTTGAACATGGTCGCATTGAGTTGGCTGAGACCGAGGTTATGCGCAACTTCGGTCGAGATGGCAATGGCTTGCACCGAGCAAATTGAAAGGTTGTTGAGAAAGTGGGAGTCGTACAATGCTCGCACCATGGTAGAGAAAAGCTGTTGAGCCGTCTGAAAATTGTCCAAGTCCACGCCGAGCTGACTCTTCAGCCTTCCACTATTTTGTATCGAGTTCACAGTGCAGCTCAGGACAGAGAGGTAGAGCGCGATCCATAGTGGGTTATCGCATCGGCCCGAGCTCCAAAACACTTCACATTGCTGCAGAAAAGTGCCGCCGTGGAAACAATTATGATGCCAGGTCAAATTCTCGATATGAAATTTGACGAGCTTCTGTGCATCTATCCCCATTGGCACGAACAGAACCTCCAAAGCGGATCCGTGAATCTGGAATGACCCGCTATTCATAGACAGCGTCTCGGAGCTATCTCGACGGTACTGACAGGCACATCGCCTGTGAGGGTAACATCCTGCCGAGTTTCGGCCCCAGGCAAGATGCTCAATTGCCGTCAGAATTGGCGGGTCTGTACTCTCTGCAGGGGCATCGGCCAACCGATGCAGGGCCTGCCTGTCATCAACGTGGTCGAAAATCTTGACATTATCCTGCTGCAGTCCTGAGATGCTTCCCTGACTGGAGGACGCGGTCGCTGCGGTCACAGTTGTCGTTGATTCTGGTGGCGGAGGAGGCGAAGACACTCCCGTTTGCAATTGTGAAATCCTCTCCTTCACCCGCCAAGTGAGATGGGAGATCTTTGGCGGGGAGGCCGAGTCCAGCTCTGACAGAATCGACGTGAGGAATTGAATCTCCGATGCATGTTGCACCGTATTCCGTCGCAGTCGTACAGTCTCCACTGAGCATTCCAGATTGAGTCTTCGACATCTGGCGCATGGGATTTGCTTGTCGCATTTCCTTTTGCGCTTGGTACATTCTACATTGACCCAACATGATTAGTCCTCATCATCGCTTGGCGGCTCCCTTCCCACCGAATAAAGGCAGACTCGGGGGGGGGGGGGTTTGAAACACCACAAGGGAGGGATCTCTAGGGTTCGTGGTCGATAAATTCGTGATGTTACCTCGACAGGCCAGCGGTCGCCGCTGGGAGACGCGAAGCGGGCCAGCGGAATCTGCTGGCCCGGTCATGGCATTTGGTGGGGTGATGTGAGTGAAATGGGTTTCCTTCCGTGGTATTTTGTATAGTCGCGTGCTTTATTGAAGAGGTTTACAACCACATCTGCATAGCTTGCGTGCTTCTCTCTTCCCCAGTATGCTAATCTGGAGTTCCCGCGTCTCAGGGAGAGAAAGGGCTTGAAGGAGCGGGTGAGATGCGGTGACTTGACCGCCCTCTCTTCTCTCTGGCGTCTCCCCGCAATTGCCACCAGCCATTCGGAAGCGAACGATATCGGCTGGGCTGTCTCCATACGGGCAATGGTCGTGCTACTCGTTCAATATCGAGTATCGACTCTGCTGCTTGCGCATGGAACGGGCGGGTGTTCTCGTGTCGGGTCGGCGCTGCCCTGCATGTGGATCCGGTGGGACGGGATTGTTGATCCTGTCGTGTGAGGCTGGAAATGGATGTCGCCGGTAGACGCTGGCGAGGACGAGAGCAGATCATTGATAGCAGGAGGGTTGCTTTTATCTGGAGGTGGTGTTCTTTATCTTGCTGGTGTATCGCTCTTATCAAGTATATCAATTAGGTAGGCATTTCCGATCTCGCTTCGATGATGGAAGCGAACAAGTCCATGAATGACAGCCACAAACACGCTTCCGTCACTCTCGATTATTCCATTGTGATTATCTAGTCGGAACAGGCACTTGAACGTTGATGGGGCAGACATGGCATCCAAACCTTCAACCTTGATCAGATTGGTACCGTAGTGCATAAAGCATGGTGGTACTGAATAGCATCAGAGCGGCTCCACTTATGCTTTTTTTTTTCCTCGGCCGAAGAAGCTTAATCGTCATACGGAGATTGTTCGTGATCCCAATTCAGTGACGGAAGTCGGCTAGAGTTATGGCTCTGTCGTACTGCGCAAGGTGGCATAGTCTCCCAACTCACATAGGACACAGTTCCTCGTCAGAGTGACAACCTCGGTGGAGTACCCATCTAAATATCTGACTCTTTACGACAGCGCATGGCTAGGGCCACCTGCGCTTCTGGGATAAGACGTTGATTGAGGGAGCAGTGCGCCTACTTTTTGGGGAATTGCTCGATGAGCATCTAGCATGTGATTTTACCAGTCTAGCTTCGGTATGGTGTCTCGCCTACAGCACAATCTCCCACCCCTTTCTCTCCCTGCGTAATTGTCTCCAACGTACTGTTATATAGTGAATGCTTACCGACACTGTAGTACTGTACAAACAGGCGATGTGGAAGCGGTGGGAGGAGTATGACACTTTCGTTCAACTTTTATTCACTGCCTGGATCACCTTGATACCCAGTCTATCTGATCAGTCATGCTCTCGACACGCGACAGCTGTCTAGCATGCCACTCTTCCAGTATTCATACTAGCTGTCCTAGGACCAAAGTGGTCTTAGGACTGAAAATGTGCCTCGTCAGAGGCCACGACAACATTCTAAATCCTATACGCCGAGCTCGCATCGTAGCCAGCATCGCAGCCAGCATCGTAGGCTGTAGCTAGTAGTATCGTCGCTAGTAGTATCAACTGGCAGCTAGATCCGTCGAGTCTAGCCAATTACGGGCTAGCGTCGCGGCCGTAAAAGCCAGGTTGATGGATCGTAAGTCACATGATTTGTACTTCGTTGACCGCTATGGCAGAACGCCTCTCCCGTAGGGAAAAAAGAATATTATTGTGTCTCGTCAGAGACACTACAACAGTAATTTAGGCTAACTTCTTTGGGATATACCCTTAGGGGGGGGGGGGGGGGGGGGGCCATATAATAGTATTCTTTTTTTTCCCTAGGGGGAGAGGCGTTCTGCCATAGCGGATAGCGGTCTGCGAAGTACAAATCATGTGACTTACGATCCATCAACCTGGCTTTTACGGCCGCGACGCTAGCCCGTAATTGGCTGGACTCGACGGATCTAGCTGCCAGTTGATACTACTACAGCCTACGATGCTGGCTGCGATACTGGCTACGGATCTGGCTGCGATACTGGCTACGGATCTGGCTGCGATACTGGCTGCGTTCCTGGCTGCGTTACTGGCTACGGATCTGGCTGCGATACTGGCTGCGATGCTGGTGCGGATCTGGCTACGATGCTGGCTACGATGCTGGCTACGATGCGAGCTCGGCGTATAGGATTTAGAATGTTGTCGTGGCCTCTGACGAGGCACATTTTCAGTCCTAAGACCACTTTGGTCCTAGGATGGCTAGTAGTATGGGCCCCTAGGTGTATATCCCAAAGAAGTTAGCCCAAACTACTGTTGTGGTGTCTCTGACGAGACACAACAATAGTACTAACCACCTCTCACCCCTGTGCCTCCAGCTTAGCCTTCTCTTTCTCCGCCTTGACCCGCCGCTCATTTCTCTCACTATATCGATCCCCGAAAAGCTCCAAATGCGGCCGCATCAGAATCGTATACTTGACAAATTCCTCCATGCAATCCGCCAGACGGTCTCGATTCCCACTTGGTTTGAGTCTCTGGTCATCTGGCTGGCCTTCATCGGGGAAGTGCGTGTACGCCTGAGGAATTGACGACTGATTCGGGATGGTGAACATGCGCATCCACCGGCCGAGAATGCGCAAGGAATTCACGGCGTTGAAGGACTGAGATCCGCCGCAGACTTGGGCGATGGCCAGGGTGCGGCCTTGGGTTGGGCGGACACTGCCCGTTGTGAGGGGGATCCAGTCGATTTGGTTCTTGAAGACGGCGGTCTTTTATCAAAGAGACAACAATGGGTAAGCTTATGGAGATACTTGAGCTCTACCATGGTCAGACTTACCAGGTTACCGTGCTGTTCGGGAGACACCCACAGGTGCCCGTCACTCCAAAGACTCAATTGCCGGAGTTCTTGGACCTTGGCATGGCCGTGGTCTCTGTCGTTTTTCATAGGTAGACCCTCCGGGTCGTATACTCGCACGTCACAGCCCAGTCGGAAGAGAATCCGCGACGCCTCCAGGGCAACGAGGCGAGAGTATGATCTGGACCGCAAGCTGCCATAGAGGACGAGGACTTTGAGTCTTTGATTCGTGAGACGGAGATTGTTCTGAGCCATTTGCAGCGCCGTATCGAGCTCGAGATTCTCTACCCAATCGTTGGCGGATGGGGTATCGAGAATGAATGGCCGGTATTTGTCTCGGATTTCCTTGGTGTCCTCGTCCAGAGGCATTGCAAGGGATTGCAGATTCTGACTTGATTCACTGTTGTCAAAGAGCGCATGATGGTTGAGTGGTGAAGCCGTGCTCGTGGTATGAGCTTGCGACTGCAAGACAGCGTGGCTATCAACGACCATTCTGGCGCTTGGAATTCGCTCTTGCGTGCGCAATCGGCTCGAGTCTCTCAACGATGATGCAGTACTGAAACTGGATGATGAACAAGCGAGGCGCAGAATTTTCGAGCTTGGACGCACTCTGCTCAGACACTGAACATGCCACATATCAAACTCACTCTTCACTGAACGGCCACAATTTACTCATTCTTTCGGATGTCTTCCCTTTTCTAGTCGGACCTGCCTGCAATGGTTGGCAATGGCCATGCTTAGGAATCGCATATCTGTCATTCGGACGCGCTCATTGGTCTGTGAGATTTAAAATTTCCTCCCGGTAATCCCTATACGAGATACGGCTGGATGACGACATCAAGGGACCCAGATTTCTGCTGGGCAAAGCTGGAAGCGCATTCTCGGGAGTCGGAAGTGAGACAGCTGGTAATACCGATACCAGCTCGGGCTGGGGATTCCGAATCAGGGGGGCGATAAGTTGGGGAAAACGGCGGTGGCCACATTTCTTGATTCGGAGTGTTTGAATGTCTACTCACTACTACTAACTAGTCAGTACTCAAGAATCAGTAGACTCAGTACTGCTTTAGTTAATCGGGCTCAACGGAACTTGTGAACATGGTCTTCTGAGGGAGCCACAGGTGTCGCGTGACCTGTTTGTACTTGCAATAGTATGCGACTCTGTAGTCTGCACTCACACTTATAGTATCATAGTACGTAGTCTGTATAGTATCATAGTATGTACTTCTCTGTACTCTGTACTAACTTATGTACAATTATACAGTGTGCTGACTGCGGAGTGTAGTTGTACAGCCTTCAGTGCCACAGAAGAAGATATGGGAATGACTGGGCTTGCAATGGACGAGAGCGACAGACCAATTTTGATTAATTGACCGTTATATCGGCGATGATCAACGTCGGTCGCGTGGCCAATGTGAAGAATGTTTGTCTGGCTCTCCACGAGCAGGGGCAATGATGTTGCTCGCTCAAGAAATGAAGAGAGACTCCTATCGCCGACATTCCCAGAATCATTTCCTAGTACCTGATGATACAATTCAGAATTGCAATAAGTTAGGCATTTATCAGTGTAGTAGTGTCCTCCGATCATGTGCAGTCGACACTCGACGACCACCCAACCTCCTGGGCTTGGGAGTCTGAACACTGTTCACTGTTCACTACTGTTCAGTCAACAGTGAAAAGTGAATAGTGAACACTCATGATAGCCATTGTGTTATCTTATCTTCTTATCTATAGTGTTACTGTTAACTTACGCCAGATAACTCAGATCACGAGGGCTCAGCCGTGGTCTCAAGGCAGACGATTGGGCCTCTCCCCTACGATGAAAAGGGCGGTCAACCGCGCTCATGATTGTTTCCATCATTATGTTGGCTTCTTCAAGAGCTGTGTCTCTCTCTCAAACGAGTAGTTGGACGTACACAAATCAGGAGCTTGGAGAGACGATGGCCAAGATGAACCAAGTCATTCTCATTATCCCTCTCTTCCACCTGGAAAAGCCAACTACCTGCACGAGGCAGAGGGGACAACCTTCAGAGGTCCTGAAACTCCTACCTGACTGCAACGCCGTGCTTCATCCTACTTCTGACCTATCTCATGCAAATACAAGCGGAACTACTTTAAAAAGCAGTTCATATTATCTAGTGTTCGCCAGGAAACCTTGTCAGCCTGCTAGGTAGGTGCTTGAACAGCAGGTCCAAGAGGTTCTGTTCTGGCCAGGCATTCTTTCTATGCTGAGATCATACTGGTCCCGACTGGGAGTCGCAGTAGATGCATCTACAGCACGGCTCATACGTGTCGGCTGCGGTGCACGTGACTTTCTAAGAACGAGTCTTGAAACTGTTGCTTGTCTGACGTTACTACAATTGTCAGACTCAACTCGAGACTAGCTGCTCTCACAAGGTATTGAAGGTACCGGCTTCCCGACTCTGAGGAGTGAACTTCTATCCACCCAAGGTGAAAGGATTGGGCACCCAGTTGAAAGACGTGACCGATCGAGGCCGTTATCGTTGCCGCCCTCCCCACATCTGCCTACCCTGAATGTCGATTGTCGACCGTCGACGACGGAAGGTGATCCTGTTTCGAGCCGAAATCCACTCGGTGCTTCGTGACGTGTTCGGCGCCATGTAGTCATGAAGTGGGATGATGGCGGGGGAGAGACGGCACCACCACCATCACCACCATCATGACCACGAACTCTTCTCCTGATCACTCCGTTGGGGGCAGGCCCACGCGAGTCCATCTAACCTGGAGATTCCCCACTGAATGCGTGTGCCTACTCGAATTTCCAAGCCGTACCGGGTACCGAATGTGCCTGTGTTGCCCCAGCGCGGGGTGACTGTCGGGACTGTCAGTGTCAAGATGCAAGAGAAGTACATGACTACATGACTCCATGCTCCATAGTCCATACTCCCTAGTCCCTACTGTTGGGCCCTGCCAATCCTCAAGTACCGCCCTTCTAGAACGCGGTGTGGACGAGTTGGAAAAAGGGTTCCTGGAAAAGGGCCCGGCGATCATTTCGGCTACTTTACCCAATAGAGCCGTCCGTTACGGCCACCGGCACCATGCCGGTCGCTGTGGATTGGTCGTGATCGCCGCCGAGGGGCTCCACGATCTATACAAAATTTAGCCTTTTTCAAGCAAAAAAGAAAAGAAAAAAAAAAGGGAAACACTTGATTTCGGTCTCTCTAATTTGGTGACTCTTGGGAGATTCTGAGGACTGCACAAGCTGGTGCGCGCTTAGACAAGCATCGATACCAGCATCTGATAGGCGCTGGTTGGACGATAAGCTCACTGTAGGGTTGACATTACATGATTTTTGCATTTCCGTGAGAAAGTCATCGCTCGAAGGGTTCTCAATTCGGGTCTCATATAGTTTCTCTTGTCCTGGGTGCACCACACTGATCCAACTTTCCTCTTCTTCTGCTTCTTCTGTTTCTTCTTTACTCTTGCCCTTCACGTCAATCATCTCTCTCTTTTCCAATCTATTTCTCCTTCAAACTGTGCTCTCCCGCAAGGCTTGACATCTTCCTCCGCACCGGCAGTCCAGAAGACTAGGGCTCTGTGCCTCTGGAAAGAGATCCACTGATCCACCCGTACGTAATAATTGTGTGCTTTCCCCCATCTCCTGATGAATTGCAACTCAATATTATCTCTTCTGCCCCGCGCCGGGTCCCTTCCCCTCGTTTCTCAATCGATCTAATCAGGAGGTCTCGTGTCGCCTTAGGTGTCTTGCATTTGAACTGGAACATCTACCGGGGAGGGGGTTGAAGAACATTCGTTCTCCTATCAACTTCCGTCACTCTCTACCTATTCGATCATTATCAATCCTCATCCAGCTTGACGCCCATTGTTCACTGGGTGTCGCCAATTGAGCCCGGCGTGCTTGCGTCTGCTTCGATTGAGCCTCTCACCATGAGTCACAATATGCATGATCAGGCTCTGCCGCTGAGCATCCATCGCGGCGGCAGTCGAATGGGGGAGCTTCTGGTGGCCGATACCCTGGTCGCTGCCGGTTCCTCGGCGCTCATCACCCCGGCGGTGATGATCTTTGACAGGTAAGGATATCTTCGAGCTGCGAGAACTGGCCGTTTCAGGCAGACAGGAGAGAGAGAGAGAGAGAGAGAGAGAGAGAGAGAGAGAGAGTTGCTCATCTTTGATCCCCTAGACTCGTCGTTGAAAAGTCCTTCTACAACCAGCCCATGTTGCCGGCCTTTCGTCGGCATTTGTGGTTCTCCATCACACAGCCCACCACTTTTTTGACCTCTCGACCGAGCCTGCTGGTCTGGTCCCTTTATACCGCCACGTTTGCAACGGCCAACATCTCCGAGACCTTGCTGAGCAAGGTTTACCCAAAGATTGACCATGCCATTGCCGGCATGACCACATTTGCCGCGACCTTTGTGGTCAATTCCTCTGTGGGCATCTGGAAGGATGTCAAATTCGCCCAATTGTTCGGCCACAAAAGCAATGTCTCTCCTTCACCTCCCGCCACGACTTCTATGCCTACATCCGCTCCTTTATCATCAGCATCATCAACGTCTGCTTCCCCATCTGCATCCGCTTCAGCCTCAGCATCCGCATCCGCATCAGCGTCCACCTCCACCTCTTCTCCCAAAACCGACTCTTCCCTCCCCAAAGCTGCCCGTTCCATCGGTCGCACGCGAATCCCTCTTGCCACATACTCCGCCTTTCTCCTGCGAGATGGTCTCACCATCTTCGGCTCCTTTAGTCTCCCCGCCATGGTCTCCACCGCCATTCCCGACTCCGTCGCCTCGCAGGAATACCTCAAGATTCTCATCGCCCAGCTAGCCATTCCCGCCTCCATCCAACTCATCAGCACCCCAATCCACCTCTTCGGTCTGGACCTGTACAATCGACCACAGCCCATGCCCACTAAAGAACGAATGAGCCGAATCAGCCGGGACTGGATCGGCGCGTCTCTCTTACGCATGTGTCGAATTATCCCGGCCTTTGGAATTGGTGGATTCCTCAACACAGAAGGTCGTCTATACTTGCACGATCAACTAGACGAAAAACGACGATCCTGACTGTTCCGGTGATGCAGAATGCAAAAAGAAAACTCGATGATGCGATTGTAACTCACGTCGAGTCTACCCATCCCTACACGCTCGATTCCATTCTCTCTCTTTCCTCTGATCCTGGCTACTGCATATATACATGTACATACTTTTCCCTGTTTTTCCCTTTTTCTCCAGTGCTTACCACTCCGTCCAGCCCTTTTCCCTTGACTTTCCCCAGAGATCATAGATCAATATACCCATATTCTTCTTTTTCCTGTTGTCATGAATTGACTGTCTCATTCTGCGCACTGTTGTATCTCCCCACCTCCGCCTGATTCCCAGCCTGACGAGACCGATCTTCGAATTTTAGGGCTTTTCCAGCGGAAGGGGGGGGGGATCCACCTGCCGAGGTGCACCCGGCCCGGAGCCCGCTTATAACCGGGGCGCCAGACCTGATGAAGTTTGAATGCAAGTGTGGAGGGCCGGAGGCACTGCAGGGAGCGCGTTAGTCGTGGGCAGTGGGCAGTAAGCACGGGGTACAGTGACTGCTAGCTCACTGCATTTGCACTCGGGCATACTATCGTCTGATACTGTGAATACTGTATTGTCAACAGTGCATATCGTGGGATGAAAGCCTACCTTGTTTCTGGCGGCAAGGCTGGAAAATTTCTCCATCTCGATGTACTTGTTGTCGTCGTAAGTACCGGCCTGGCAGGTTCTGTTGTGGCTTGGTTTATGATGTTCGGTCCTCGGTACCCGCCACTTCGAGTCTAAGAGTCGAATCTTCTGAAGCGATGGCATCCGGCGCCTTTGCTCACATGGTACAGGTAGTATATGTTCATGGTGTTGAACGCGAGCGGGTCTATCAGCCCAGCGAGCACAGTACCCCCAAATTCTCACCATGTAGACCCTGGGGTAAAGGATGGATGCGTCCTTAAACCAGGGCCGAAATCAAGTCATCGAGTGAGCGGGAAATTATATTCGCAGATGCGTTGATGGACGTTTGTTTATGGGACGATGGAGCCTTCGAAAGCAAGATTGCTAGACTTTTACTCCCTCGTCTAGAGGACTTTCTTGACTGTTGTATTTTCTGCGAGGCATGTACCAAGGGTAGAGCAGAATATGTCCCTGGTCTTTTGTTGTTTAGGTCTTTGAGAAGGATAGTGTACACTGTACACTGTTCAAGAGATTGTAGGCTACAAAGGTAAACGGCTTTTTCATAAGAGTGTCCTAACGTGAACTCCATAATGGAAACCTACTCCACGAGTCAAGGGTGTACATTGAATGTAAAGCGCAAAGCATATCGCTGTGCTGTTCATCAAACAGTCACAGACTCACAATAAGATAATAACTAGCCGAGAGCAAGATTGTAAAGGTGGTCGTGCTTCTCTGCCCGGTTGGATTACTTTGCTTGCCAGTGTGATTCGGGTGAACTGGTTCGGAAAGGTGGCTGGTGGCTAATACGAGGGGGAGAGGTCACGATGGAGATTTTGATCAGAAGGTTCACATTGTCAAGGGACTCAGGGAGTGCTTTGAGGTTGTCATGATGGAAAACTAAACGTCGAGGTCGTTCCGTAATCTATGGAAGGATGGGTTGAAATGAACTGTGAAAAGGAGATTAGCGTGAGACCCCCACGGCCCCCATTAATCTCTACGTAGTACGTACTACGTACTGCATAGTCAGTCTTGGCAGGCTTGTCCCTCTTGCCTTTACACAGACCATTGGATCATATTTGGACTCGAGCTAGAGTAAACATTGAAGTATACTTTGTATTGACGGTGTTTCAATTTATATTCTTGAATGTCATTTACTGTTGACCAGTGAAAAAGGTGTGTACTAGGGAGTAGCCACAAACAATCCTAATGTAAGTGTAGCATGACTCGACGGGATCAGGATAGCCGGACATTAATCACCCTACTTAACTAGGTTCATGAGTCATTCCTCATTCGGTGATTCATCAGGTAGCGCGGAGTAAGTCGCCACCAACTTGCAGGTGGCTACCCACTTTATAGTTTATTACATATCTACCCGACTAGTACGAAGAAAGTAAAGGTAGACGAGTCGATCCCGAATGAATTTCCTCAAGGACTCTTCGCTATTCAATTAGCTCTGTCGGTTGTGAATGCCAAGTCGATGTTCGTTTGTTATCACGGTCCCTTTGCTTTTTTCTATCTTGTGGGGGGCTGTCTAGTGTCTTTTAATCAGATTCAGACATGCTAGATTCTGAACAGGTAGGTAGTCTGCGATTGAGTCATAGACCATCGGGGTCTTTTATCTACTATAGTCATTGGTACAAAAGAGCTAGCCGATTTCCAACACAATGAGCTCGACGGATAACAATATTCACGATCAAGTCAATGAATATACCAGAGACCAACTCTCGAGGTCAATGAGCTACACACATTCTCATTGACGGTCGAAAATTCCAAAGATACTCTCAATTTCCGCTCACCTACCTATCCCGCCTACCGTCGACCTTCACATTGACTTGCCAATTTGAAAAAAAAAAATAAAAAAAAAAGGACACACCACAGCCACCGCGAGGAGTGATCAGTATAGTATCCATCGATCCTTTCAGCGTCAGAAGATCAACCCCACAACTGGCACCGACCGGGCTTCCTAATCTCCACGGACAAAACCCTGCTCTCCCTCGCGGCCATCAACAAAGCCTTCTCCTCGGATCAGATATACTGGGCCAAGCCCATGCCGGAAGATGTTCTGCAAGCAATGGTTGAAAAGAGTTTCTGTTTCGGTCTGTATGAAATTACCACGGGTCCGCGTGCTGGTACCACCGCCGGCAATGGCAACGGCAACGGCAGCGACTCCATCTCCGCTGAGACTGGTCTTTGTCAGATCGGCTTTGCGCGGCTCGTCGGCGACATGGTCACCTTTGTCTACGTGACGGATCTGTATGTGCTGCAGGAGTATCAGGGGCGGGGAGTAGGGGGGTGGCTGATTGATTGTATTGGGGAGATGGTGGAGGGGATGCCGTGGTTGCGGTGGGCGATGCTGAGGACGTCGATGGAGAAGAGCCAGAAGGCGTATGAGAAGAGGTTGGGGATGGGGGTGTTGAGGTCGGGCGATGTGAGAGAGGGGCCGGTGATGATGGGGAGGAAGGGCGGTTGCGGGGGGGGCCTTAAAGGGATGGCGATGAATCTGGAAAATACATGGGAGATGGAGAGGGTCACCGTGAGGAGTGGGAATGGTAGATTAATGTGAGATTGGATGAGATGATGGTCGGTCAATTGCAGCTTGTCATTCCATGGTTTCGAAGAGTGTGGGCGATTGTCGAGGTACCGGTGTCAATGTCTGTAGTATTGACTGCACTCTGCAGTACACTCGATGTTACGCATATTGTGGACGAGATTCTAGTTCCACAGATCGAGAGATTGATAAGATAAGATCAAGCGGTACATCCAAAGTCTAGCTTATTCTGTACTAGTTACTGTAAGTGAGCACAGTATACAATAAGATATACAATTTGCATCCTACACCCGTACAGAAGCCCTGGCAGCTAAAGAAGGTTCATTCGTCATCGCTCAGCTCGGCGCAACCGGCGTTCCGAGTCCGAGGGATGACCAAATCGCGGGGTCCGGTCCGAGGCTGACAGATCAGATCAGGTCAGATCAGATCAGGTCAGATTTCCAATTTTAGATGTACTCTTCATCGAAATCATATTTAAGCTGTTTATCGTAGATGATCCATATATATAGAAGGGTGAATTTGGTCAGAGAACGAACATCACAATCTTTCAATTCAATCATCAACATCCAACCAATTTTTGTGTCTCTGAATCTCAGTGAGCTATACCAACCGCAAGACAAGTCTCTCGAGTACCCAGAGTTCTACGGTATGTACCTACCTAGGTAAGGTACCAGGTAGACACCTACAGTAGTGATGTACTATCTACATCAGTCCTTGACAGCTACCCCACCTTTCTTTATCTCATCCCATCTCATCTTTCCCTCATTCTTCAGCTCCCCGTCTTCAATCTCAATCCAGATCAAATCCATTGGAACCACCTCAACCACCAGTCTTGTCAACCACCACCTCTACGACCATCACAATGCCCTCCTCCTCCCATAACTTCGCCTACACCGCCCTCGTCAACCCCTCCGACATAACCCTAGACTTGACTAACCCCCACATCACCGCCTCCCAACTCTGGGACGGCCTCCTCGCCAAAGCCCGCGCCGCCGAGGGCTTCGTCGGCGGCGCCATCCTCTCCACGACCGTACTCGACGAGTCCATCAACGAAGACGGCAACCTGGTCATCAACCGCGAAGTCGTCTTCAGCGCAATGCCCGACGCCAAGCCCGTCCATGAAAAAGTCACGGCCTACGAGCCCTCGCAGGTGGACTTTGAGCAGCCGAATGGCAGCGTCATCAGTAATGTGATCAGTGAGGGCTTGCACGGGGAGTTGTATCTGACATATGTGTTTCGGTGGATGCATCCCGGTTTGAGTGCGGAGGAGGTGAAGCGGGTGATGGAGAAGGAGAAGATGGGGGCGAAGACGGCGGTGCAGGCTACATTGGTTGCGGTGCGGAAGTTGGTGCAGGAGGAAAATGCTGCGCGCAAAAGTGCAGTTTGATGGGGATTTGGGAGATGGTGTTCTTGCGAGAATGAGGGTGCGTTGAATGTTGAGGTCTTTGGGGTTTGTGCTGAAGAGCAGATGTTGAAAAGAGTTATGTCTTATGAATGTCGTTTTATTGATCGCTTCGAATATGACGTGTTGAGTGACAATGGATGTTGATTGTTGAGTACATGGTTTATAAGTACCGTAAAACTGACCCATTTTATACCATCCTTATTTGGGTGTAACCGGTGTATGACGGGTTAAAAGGGAAGGTACCTGCAACCTATCGAGCCTAATCCCGATAGACTCTTGACATCGCACTGAGTACACACATATACAGCATCGTCTCGATATCCTCCATTTTTCTTCCTTAAGACCCTCAAAAGCATTCCCACGGAACCAGATATATATACAACCATCTATCTCCTGATGAACCAAGTACAAGGAATTCTCACCTAACTATATAAACTACGGAATTAGATATCTCTACATATCCACCTCCGGAACAGCAACCACTCCCTCCGACACCCGCACCGCTGTCCCTGTCAATTCCACCTGCTGAATAAATCCCCCCTCCATCCTCACATTCACCCCGATATCACTCCGTCTACCCATCTCCACTCCCTGCACAAAGTGATATCGAATCTGTCCATCTCCTCCCTCCTGAGACTGCTGCTTCCCCCTCCCCTCGCCCTCCGTCAGTGCCAAATACGCCGCCAATCCACTCGCCGAGCTCCCCGTCGCCGGATCCTCAATCCCACTCAACATCATTCGCGTCCGGATCACCTTACCCCCCATCTTCTCATCCTCCACATCTCGCACATAAAAGTACACACAGATCAATCCAGACTGCCACCCCGCATCCAGATACTTCTCCGTCGGAATCAATTGCGCACCCGTGGGCCGAGTCACCGCAGCCAGCGCCTCCAGCGATGGTAACTCGATAAACAGCTGACTCATGCCATTGACGATAGAGAAAAGCGGAAAATCCTTACTCTCGGACTCGTTGAGATACGGCCGCACCGTAGGGTGCAGAGCAAGTAGTTCCGCGAGTGGGAAGCGCTGCGCGTGAATCCGGGTATTGTGCGCGATGCGCGCGGCGACGGCTCCGGTCTGCGCATCTTGAACCGAGATGGGGATCTCGCCTGATTTGGTGATCAGGCTGGTGACGGGGTGGTGCGGGTCTTGCTGGCCGTGCACGAGGAACCAGCTGGCGGCGCCGATGGTGGGGTGGCCGGCAAAGGGGATTTCACACTCGATGGTGAAGATGTCGATGGTGCGGTGGGGGCTATTGTTGGGGTCGGTGACGGGGTGGACGAAGATGGTTTCGGAGAGGTTGAATTCGAGGCAGAGGAGGTGTTTTTGGCGTTGGGTGAGGGTGTGTTGCGGATCGGAGGGGAGGAAGACCACGGCCAGAGGGTTGCCTTGGAAGGGTTGGGTGGTGAAGACGTCGAGGGTGAGGTATTTGAGTTGAAGCATGGTGGGCAAAGTCCAGGGAAGAGGAAGAAGTTTTGTTAGGGTAGAGGTAGAAAGACAAGAAGACAGAGACAGAGAGAGAGAGAGAGAGAATCGTCAATTAGTGATGGCCAGATCTTTGTACTCTTCAGAAGCACATGTCAGTGATGAAGACAATCTCCACTCTAGACTGTTCATTCCGTAGTACGACCCCTCCAACGGACCCTCACTGGCTCATTGACCGATTGACTCATGGCTCGGCAATTGCGGAATTGAGTCATGGTGGACCTTTTCAAACGTGGGGGGACTCACTGAGTAATTGACTACTTACTACAAAGTTAGTACTTCGAACTTCAAAGTACTTATAGTAAGTACCCAGTCTTACTAACTTGAAAGCCTGTGTAAGTTCAGTCGAAACAATATCACTATCCTGTAATTGTCCTCATACGAGGGGACTCGCATATAATTGCAGTGCCGGCAGCACCTGGTCTAGCTACAGGTTTCAAAATCTAGTATGGGTGGAGATGGACAGTATACGATCATATAAGTTTCAATTCAGACCACTCAACATCACTCGGATATCAATCACAGGACAACTCATGAATTTTCCTCGCAGAACTACTAGTGGACCACGGTGGCCTAAGATCAAATACATGCACTAGCGAAAAAGGTCTAGACTAAGTGACCACTGACCAGTGACTAGTGCCACTGACGTGAAAATGTACCCGAGTTCGATTGATCTCGCGAAAAGTGTAATTATATTAGGTACCCACCGGGATGAAGGGTATTGCCAGGTTCAAACACGCCCTACCGTCCTCAATAGTGAACCAGGTACCCAGCCGTACTGCTAAAAAATGCCGAATCCTCAGAATCCTCAATACATGTATCCGCGCCCAAAAGATATCTCTATGCCAGCCAGCCTCCATGACCGGAAATGAAACGCCTCATCAAATCATAATCTGTACATCTCTCACAAGTCCCAACTCATTCAGAGTCAGAGTCAATCACAAAGCCACCACGCATTCGACGACTCGAAGGGGCCACCGATACATCCTCGTCATCATCACTGCCCGCGGTCTTCTCCAAGGCGGCTGCTTTGGCGGCTCGGTCTCGACTAAATACCAAATCGTCGTCAAAGTCCATCTCATCGTCCGTCAACGACAATGCCGCGTCTTCACCTCTGGATCCGCGATCAACAGACGCACCCGCTTGCGGAGAATGAGACGACCTCTCATCTACGTCGGCCATGAGAAGGTCGTCATCGTCGTCATCTTCATCGTCATCGTCTCCGTCGCTCGCTGATGATGATTTTCGACGTCGTTTGGACTGTATGGCGGCATTGTCGCTTTTGCGTTTTCGCACAGCGGACTTTTTGCCTGTTCCGTCCTTCTTTCCGGTCTCCGCTTGAAGTACGTCCCCCAACATCATGGCTTTCTTAACATTCACAGCTTGCTGTCTGCGTCGATCTTCTTCCAGTCGGAAGAATTCTCGATCGGCCTCTTCATCAGTCTCATCATCACTGGCATGGATGAACAAATCACTCTTGATCTTATTCTGACGCGCCAATGCCGCCGCTAACCGAGCTTGACGACGCTCCTCCAGCACCGCATCATCCAGGGGCTCGGCTTCGTCCCCATCGTCAACCTTTCGAGACTTCTTCTTTCGCTTCCGCTTCAGCTCATCTAATGCACTGGATTTGCTTCGCGGATTAGGTGCGAAGAGGGGCCCGTCCGGAACAACATCTTCTCCTTCAGAGTCGGATCCGAATTGAACATTCGGCGCTCCGGGGGCGAGGCTCTCCCGGGCACTACTCGTCTCTTTTCGACGGAGCATTTGACGAGGATCTTCATCGGTGCCTTCGGGCATCGGGTTGAGAATGGACTTGTTGATGTTGGAGATGGTCTCGTTCAACTCATCAGAGGTCATGCGGGCTGGAACGACCCATTGCGCGCCGCGCACGTCTTCTTGACCCAGTCGCTCCAAACCAACAGACTCCATCAGAAGACGTAGCTTGGCATTGGTGAACATGGAGTTTTCAATAAAGTCACTTCCAGGTTTGACATCTGTGTGCACATATTAGCTTCTGAATGCAGCTTGGGACGGCGAAAGTAGAAGGTCAACATCGACATACGGATCAAAGGGTTGGGCGTAGCAACACTTTCGGGGTTTTCCTCTCGACGAGCTTCCGTATTAGTCTCCCAGTCCTCACGCTCCGAGGCAGCAGACTTCAAGACGTCTACGAGCCATTTGACCAGATCCGCCTGGCCATCCAGAACGAGGGCACCAGTGACCACTCCTTGTTTGGCTTCTTTCGAGAGGGTCTCTTTAGAAACGAAATGAAGCTCAGCAGGAGGCCGCCTGGCTGTCGACATGGTCTGTCTCTCATGACCGAACTCCAGATAGTAGATCGTCGAGTTCATCTTGCTGAAGAGTAATTCTGTGATCAGTGCTGGTCGCTGGTCGATCCTCTTCGTCAACCGGCGCAGAATTTGCCTGACAAGCTCCTCCCATTCTTTGTAGATGGGTTTGCTGGAATCCATAGCTCCGGGCCCCTTGATCATCCGGTGGAAAAGGCTGATAATGTCCAAGCGGAATAGCAATGTGGTCATCTCTTGCTTGAAGGCGATGCGGTAGAAATACCGATGAGCACGCTTCAGCTGTTCAGAGTTCAGCTCGCGGTAAAATGATGTGAATTCGACAAATGTGTTCACGCAGCTTTGATTGCAGAATTTGGCGGCAAAGCGCTTAAAGTCGAAAGCACGCTCTTTGCTCACTTGTGCTGAATCAATTAAATCTTCGTCTTCGGAATGAACGTCCTCTTCATTCTCGACTTCCCCCTCGCCTTCCTCTTGCCCTGCGGATTGGGCAGCTTCCCCCTTCTTGCGTTTCTTGGCTCGCCTCTTCGATCGAATTTGTAGATCAGCGTTAGTCTTGGAGTACCGCTCGAGCATGCGCAGGAAGACATGTGATAATTCAGTTGCGGCATCCAAATATCCAAACCCTTGGTCTTTGTACCCTCGTACAATGGAGAGAACCCGATCATGGGTTGTTTCCTCGTAGAAGATTCGATTTTGGATATTGTCGGCAATCTCTTGATCTTCTTCGAGAGGCGAAAAGGTCATTTCTTGCACAGTCAGAAGAATCTGCGTAAAGCATCGCATCTGTGCCGTCAAGTCGTCCCACTCCTTATTGTCGAGACTACTCTGCATACCGCGATTCAGCGAGATGAAAGTCTCTTGGTTCAGCACACTGGCAACCAGGCCAAAACTGTCCGGTTCAACATCCTTGGTGTTCTTCCCGTCTATTTTGCGCTGGATTGCCTGTCGAGCTCGTCGAGCACGCTCCGCCTCGAGGAACCAACCAACGGTGTAGAAGAACTGCCGAGCATTGATTGCGGACACGCGCTCGGCTTCCCGTTCAATGGCCTTGCGCACATGGGTGAAAAGAGGGTTGAATCCTGAATCGAGGAATTCTTCGACAAACGTCCGCAGGTTCTTCGTTGCCCAGAGTGAAAGATGGACAGGTGTATTGAAGTCATTGTATTGTACGGTCTCGTCCTTGTTTCGACGCGTGCGCCCGGGTCGTTTCCATTTCTTGCTCTCGTCCATCTTTTGGAGACTGGCTTGATCGTCTCGTAGAATATTTTGACCAGAGACTGTGCTCACTTTATGCTCATCTCGTTTGACCCAGATCATGGTTCCAAATCGGCCATGACGAGTGGGCGCATTTTTTGCATACTCCCGCTTGACTTGATTCTCCTTCTTGAGTAGCTGGCTGAGCTCATCCGAGCGTTGTGCTTTGCGTTCATCTTCGTTCAAGAAAATTTTGTCGACATTGACGCCTTTGATGATGTGGAATAGAATCTCCAACAAAACAATATCCTGCTGGTTGAAATCCTCTGCAACGTTGGAGCACATGGTGAGAATGAGCGCAAACGCATCTTGATCCTGGAATGCGTTGATGGTGGCAGATCTAGATGTCTCTTCTTCATCGCCTTCGGCTGCGAGTCTTTCATTGGTGGTGATGATCGCAACATTTCGCAGGAAGTAGAGCATCAGTTTCAAGATGCCTTCGTCCCGCGACTCGCGCTCAGAGCGAGGGATCGCCATGCTGGGAAGCGCAATACGGATGACCGCACGAAGGAGATTGGAGCCTCCATATCGAAGAATGCCGCGCTTGTACTGCACTTGGATTTGTTGAATATAGGGGGTGTGCCGGTGGTGATTCGCGGTCATTTGGCTGTGGTACTCGGCAGGCCATGTCAATGGCACGAGCAGCTCCACTGCTTGAGGTCAGCATATGATCGCAAAAGTGAGTGATTGTCAGGAATATCATGAGCTTACAGCATGCCAATGCAACTCGGGTCAGGTGTTTGCTGTTCTGTCCGTTATTCCACCATATCGAGAGAATTGGCAGGATATCGCCCATGACCAAGTTGGCTTCTCCCAGACATCGCACCACGTCCATCCGGTTGTTTCGCTGATCGTAAAGCTTCAGCCATCTTCTGATATCACGAAGACACGAAAGCGCATCATCTCCAAGCATGTAGCGATCTGCATCTGCGCCATTGAAACCTCCCAGCTAGAAAGGGAAAAAAAATTCCGTCGCGTCAGTATCTCTTGTCCGCGGCTGCACAAATGCTTGCACGATTTCCTGAATACGTACTGCAGTGACCAGACTGTAGACGTGCATTCGCACATCTGGATCAATGACTTGGACATCTTGCCCGACCGAGGTCACCTCATGATCCATGGCGAGAGCGATCGATTCGTGGGTGTCGAGACACTGAAGCACCACGCCCAAATGCACTGTAACTCGAATAGGATCACGCGTATCGGACGCGTCTGCCTCGGTGAGCCGGAGAAACCAACACCGCCGCCGAGCCCCGGCGGACTGCCGAAGATAGCCGATGACGTTGGACTAATCGGGCAGGCTAACTCAACATGTGAAGATCTATGCGAAGCAGACTTGGCCTTCCAACTTTCTCCTCTGTATTCTGTTTTTCTTGACACTCAATCGGCGTAATACCTCGAATTGCAGACATGTTTGCTTCTTCGCTGCGATCAGTCACTCTTCGCGGCCCCTTGGCGGCCCGCAAGTTCAGCTCGACTGCTGCTACGAGCGCTGCCGAGGTTAAGTCTTTGGGTGTAATCGGCGCTGGCCAGATGGTAAGTCGTTACATCTTGGGGTGATCTCCGGCCCGAACAATTTGACTTATGTGATCACACAGGGGTTGGGAATTGCTCTGGTTGCTGCGACCAAGGCTGGAGTTCCTGTGACTCTGGTCGATAACTCTCAGGCTTCCTTGGACAAGGGTCTCAAGTTCGCTGGTAATTGCTCCCTCATGTCATAGCAGCGCACATTGAAATTCGTGCCCCGCCAATTCAGTCCATGCTTCAATGGGACAATTTCCTGAATATAATTCTTTCCTCCAGACAAGCTTCTCGAAAAGGACGTTGCCAAGCAGCGTCTCACCCGCGATGCCGCTGATGCCGCTCGGGCTCTACTCAGGCCCACCGTGAAGATGGATGACCTTTCCTCAGTTGACTTTGTGATCGAGGCCGTCCCCGAGATCCCCGACCTCAAGCAGAGCATCTTCAAAAATCTCGCCCAGATTGCTCCCAAACACGCCATTCTGGCGACCAACACCTCCTCTATTCCCATCACTAAAATCGCCGCCGCTACCACCTCAGACCCAACAGACCTGCAAGCTCCATCTCGGGTAATCTCCACTCACTTCATGAACCCCGTTCCAGTCCAAAAGGGTGTCGAAATCATCCGTGGTCTGCAGACATCACAAGAGACCACCGATACGGCTATTGCTTTCGTTGAGCGCATGGGCAAGGTTGCTTCCGTATCGGCTGATTCTCCGGGCTTCCTGGCCAACCGCATCCTGATGCCGTATATCAACGAAGCTGTGATCTGTCTTGAGACTGGAATTGGAGGTCGTGAGGATATTGACAACATCATGAAGAACGGTACCAATGTTCCTATGGGTCCTCTGACTCTGGCAGATTTCATTGGACTGGACACGTGTTTGGCGATTATGAACGTGCTTCACCAGGAGACCGGCGACAGCAAGTATAGACCCGCTGGTCTGCTTCGCCGCATGGTTGATGCGGGCTGGATGGGTAAGAAGACCGGAAAGGGCTTCTACGAATACTAGACGTGAAGTTTCTCCTCGTGATGTTGAAGACGTGAGCAGGGAAAATTAGTGCTGCCTTCTATTTTTGTATGCGATAAACCTGAATCAACTGGTTACGCTCCTTAGATCTGAGATTATTTCGAGTCGTGTCCTGACTGTTGTAGGCAGCAACTGCCACATAGGAGTGGCGGACCTTTCAGTAAGATAGCCGAACTTTAACACGTTTATCCAACACGTGCAACCGCTGGAGTGAGGCTGAACTAGAATTCGCAAAACAACTTGTCTCGACCATCATCATTTGACGCTGGATCCTACTCGCGCTGTCTGTCATTACTACGCGGCGCTATTGCAATCCCCAAGGACAGAGATAGGTGAAGCTTCCACTTGGCCCAGGCTTGAACTTCTCTAAGATATGTCCCAGTTCCAACCTACTCACCAAGGGCGAGGAGGGTGCAATAGATAAGGGTATTCACGTCCATCTGACTTACATACACAGTTCGCTTGAGTAAGTGATACCATCCATATAATCAAAGGCCTTCGTCTGACCCATTTGCATTTCAGATCCGTGCACATAACTTTGGGTTCCTAAGGCCCCCAGACAAGATTGTGAATCGTAGATAGCGTGCGCCATACGTATTTAGGTGGGTAAAATCCCGATGGTAGGAAGCATCTACAGCTTGTAAAAGATCCACTCACACCGCCCATATTGACTTGCTGTTTGGGGTCTTAGTCGTCTCGTAAACAAAAGATGAAAGGGAGAGAGCACCCGCGATTGGCAGATAAGCTCGGTAGTTAGTGAATACAATGATTTAAATCTACTGCGGGTGGTAATAGATGTTGATCGGACTTGGGGCTCCCTGGGTATTGGTATAGCAATAGGATCTCTATCTCAGGAAATGGCGAACTTGTCATGGGTGGACTGGAAGTATATTGATAGACAATCTTATCAACTTGAGTTGCTGAGACGATTAGACTCCGGGAAACCTAAATCATTGCCTACAATAGACTCCCTAGTCTTACGGTCACTGACAGGTGCAACTTTTAGAGCCTCTTTTGACATTTCGAGAACTAAGAGGAACGCCTTAGTGAAGCCCATGGCATGGCCCTCGATGATGTTCCCTCCTCTTCAAAAGGAATCGATATGGATCACTCTTCAGTTCCTCAAGCCTAAGCCCTGCCGAAAGGAATTGGTCCCATGTGATAACGACGAGTAATGTCCGTGGCAAGAAAAACCAGAAACACCGTATGCCCATAACTGAGTACCCCTCATCACGTAGAGATAAATGACGTGAATGCAAAATGCGAAAACGTTTTGAAAAATTGGGCGGTTTTGCATTTCGGGAGGATCTTCCGAGTTCTTTCTTTTTTAAGAGACAAAAAAGGGGGAGAGGGGGATAAGGCGAAAAGGTTGAGGGAAAAGGTTTTCGAGAGGGATTCAGTTTGAAAGGAGAAAAGGAAGAGGCGTCACGCCATGCCATAGTACACTCATTCCCGATCCGAAAACCGACCCGATCATCATCATCAGCACGAGCAGAAAATTAACACATTTATTTCTTGGCGGCCTGCTCCTCCTCAGCCTTGACACGGGCACGCTTCTCACGCTTGCCACGGTGGCGGGCCTCGGCGCGGGAGTCACGGAGACGGCGGTAGGCAGCCTTCTCACCCTCGGGGAGGGAGTCACGCTTGACCTCAGAGACGGCGGCCTCGAGAGCGGGGTTGACGATGGGGAAGGAGGCGCCAACCTTCTTGGTGAGACCCTCACCAGACTTGGCGGCCTTGACGTCCTCGGCGGAGGAGTCGAGCTTCTTGAACTGACCGCTCTTGCGGGGGAAGAGGATCAGGCGGGCCTTGTAGTCCTTCAGGCGGGCGACGTTGTCAACCAGAGACTCCTTGGAGTAGTTGGTGCGGCGGTGGTCAACGGCGATACCGACGGTGCCAGCGAGCTTCTTGGGGATACCGGCCTCCTAAATTCCGGGGAAAAAGTTTGATGAGCCTCTTTTTCATTCATAAATCGAAAACGATCTCTTGACCGATTCAAGAAGCCCGCTATTTGGCTGTTCACGGTTCAATTTACCTTCAGCTCAGCGAGGGTGAAACCACGACCAGCACGGACACGGCGGTTGTACTTGACGGTAGGGCATCGCACAACGGGACGCAGCTTGTCGACGGGACGGGGAGCAACAGCAGCGGCCTTGGCGATACGGGCTTCACGTCTGCGGTGCTTGCGGCCGGGCTAAATTTTCGAAAAGAGTCGCATGTTAGTCGGTTGCGTCCTTTCGTGAGACAACTTTTCCATCCAATTGAGTGCCGAGCGCTGAAAGATCGAAAGTCGCTCGGTGGGAATTGGAAAAAGTTTTCGGGTGGGATTTCGAAAGTCGTACCTGGTCGAAGTGCACGCGCACACGACGCTGCCAATCCTTGCGGAAGTCTGTAATCAGAAGGCATCAGCAACCGAGAGATTTGAGGATGTTGCGAATTGAATATCATTTGCGATCCGGACGCTTCGGAAAAAAATTGATCGTGCACGAGAAGGGCGCTTGAGCCTGAAAATGACGGGGCCGACTCACGGTTCTTCTGGATTTGGTTGTTGTGTCTGATCGCCTATATGTCCCACACAAATCGAATCAGCCTCGACATCTTTCAACATTCCTCCATATTGCCTGGATCAGTGGTCGAAAATCGAGCCAAATCCGACCGCGCAGCATATCCTCCATTCATTGTATAATTCGTATCAGGGATTCGAGGGTAACGCACCATGGTGACGGATGGGGATCGAGCCGGGTGGTGGTCGTCGGAGGGTTGCTGGTCAAATCTCCCTGCACGGCAGAAACTGAAGTCGCCATTTTTCGTGTGGCCGCTTTCACTACTCACCGCTTCGCTTAGCGAGCCCTAACTAATCTGGTTCGGGCAAATTGCCAATAAGTGCTGACTCATCATTGGCTCCCGCTGGAGAGAAAATGGATTCTGTTCCCGCTATCCAGTGACCGTTCAGTAGTGTCCGCTTGCCGACGAGATTGGCTCGAACTCGATCATGGCCTGCCAAGTCACTGATCCGTTGTTCAATGTATCATGTTAAACTGATATGCGATAGACAGGTCAAACAATGGTTCATACTCATAGTACTTCAATCTCCTGTAAATTCTGGTGCTTCTCTAATTTCCAGAATCATGTCTTCTTAAAGTAAGAAAAGGAAGCAATGTCTTTGCCTCTATTGTCCTTCTGACTCGTCTTTCGTGTCTTCCTGACTATCTTTTAATTTATCTTGAGGCTCTTTACAAGCATGTGAATCCTTGGTCGTCTGTGTTATACTTTAACGTTCCACTTCCATATCCACCAACTCTCGGTCAGTCTCACCAACACTATACTACTATGCCTCGACCTCCACTTTGACAAACAAATGGTATCAAACTCATAATCTCATAGTGCTCTTTCATGACTCACTAACACCTCATACCTACAAAAGTGAAGAGATTCTGTGATCACGGCAACGCAACATCTAAAAGATAAAATCTACTTACTGTGTACAATTAAGTTCATTAACAGTATACACTACACAGCGTGGCAGCATACACTACTCCAGTATATAGAGCCATTCTCGAGTAGCTGGTGATCATACAATAAACATTATCTCTCTAATTTCTCGACAACTGAAATTCCGGATTGTTGCTGTCAATTCTTCAATGATCCTGTGATTGCAGCAATGCAGACTTGAAACCAATGCAGCCAGAGGCGCAGACGATGATAGCTAGTAGGTACTAGGTAGTGGTACTAGGTACACTATGCAATTTTTTGAAGCATCGACCAAGAAACAAGCATCTAAGCCAAGATACACCACAGTCGAGGAGTCAAAGCATTTCAAACCCAGGAAACCAACACAACACCACTGTTTGCACGGTGAAAGTCATAGACTCAAATAAAGACAGAAAACCCGAAAATCATCCAATTGATATGAACACACAACAAACAACAAAAAAAAGTAGAAAGCAATCGCTGGGGCAAGTACAGTTGAATTGCTATGGGAAAAAAAATCACTTAATTCATCAATCATATTTCCCGAAGGAAAGCACGTCGTCAAGGTGCGAAAGGCTAGGTCGTAAGTCGTGTCCAGAAAAGTATGTGCCGAAACGCCAGATGTGGACGCTTCTGCACGAGGAAATAGTGGGGTGGCGCGAATGGGCCTGGAGATCCTAAGTCTCGATGCCCAGCCCCACTCCAGCATTGCCTCTGGATCTCTTGCTGGCTGGACTGTTTTCGCCTGAACTAGCTTTACGCTTTGATGCCGAGGCACGATCAACATTTGGCTTCTTTACCTGCCCAAAGAGCTTGGTCTGCAGCAATGAACTGGTCTTGGGGGCAGTTATCCGCGCCGGCTCATGATGGGGCTTGACTCGCTTGACTTCGTCCTCGGATTCAGGGGCTGACAACGACACGGTGCTGTCGCTGTCATACTGGTCGCGTGCTTGTGTGCTGGAACTTGAGTGGTTGCGCTCGTCTCGGGCCGTGCATGGTTGATTGGGAGTAGTGGGAACTGAGGATTGAGTGCCATAGGCGCCGTGGGGTTCACGGATGCGGTTGGTGAATTTATCGGCAAAGAGGAGCGCCGCCAGACCATCAGTATGCTCTCCGCGGCAAAAGGTATGCAGTTCATTCTGCATACTGGGAGACATCGCCCCGTAGTTATACAATTGCGAGAAATGTTGTCGGTTGTCTTGAATGCGACGTTTCAACATCGCATTTTGCTCTTTCAGCTCTGCGGTTCGAGCTGACGCATCGTCAATGACCCGTTTAGCATGGCGGAGACGGCGATCCAATATCAGATTGGCATTCTCCAGTTCTTGTGATCGGTGAAGGACGGTGATATAATCTTCGTGGGACACCGGATTGGAAGGTCGTGGAGTCAGCGGCTCTGCGGGGCGTGAGCGACTCCGGTATTCAGCGCTTCGAAGGATCTCGACCTCGCGCTTGGCAAGTTGCTGCTCGACTTCAGCGCGCTTGACTGCTTCGCTACTCGCGAATGAAACAAGACTGTTTTGCAATTTAAAGTGCAATGCCGACATGCGGGCTTCTTGCGCGACAGCCAACAGGTCCTTCGCAAGTTGACGCAGGCGAGTTTCGTTGGCTGAGTCGATCTCTTCTGTAGAAGGGAGGTTCTCGGATGCGCCGTATGCGTCACAGAGTGATTTCTCCAAGTTCGCAAAGGGGACTGCGGCGGGGCTGAGAGAGCGCGAACTGGAACCGCGCCGCGGTGCTCCAGGAATTTGTGTTGAGGGTGGCGGAGTCATATCTGATGACGACAGGGCAGGGGGAGACATGACTTTTTGTTCTGATTGAAAGGACCGTTCTCGCGCGGCCACACTGAGATCGGGCGATGGGGAAAGAGTACTTCTGCGCGTTGGGGTTGCCGGAACAAGGATTTCGGCTGCTGGTGCAAGTGGACTTGATGGCCGGTTTGTTGATCGAGACATGGCCGACAATAGATATCGGTAAGTAGATCGAAGTTGTATGACAGATCAGTTGTTCACCAGATAGAGGTAATCGTTATGCTACAGACCCTGTCAGTTGACTGTATCGAGATGTTATCGATAGCGATTGGAGTCGCACGGGCCGATCGCATACCGAATCTAATTAGACGCTTCCAGGAATGAACAACGACGTCAGACTGCGCAAGAGTGGAATGAAACGTTCAGTGATCACAATACGATCAGGCGAGGGGCATGGAACAAAGGATCAACGGGACTGCAGGGGGGGGAGGCAAAGCGGATAAAGGGAGGAAGGGAAGCTCAATTTGTGGAAAATCGGAAAAGGTGGTGGGACGGTGATGAGTTGATAACATGGAGGAGGGGGAGGCTGGGAACGGCATTGTGATATGCGGCTGGGGGGGGAGTCAACCAGCAACCTCATGCTGAGTCCGTTCAGCCATTGCGCCAGAGGAGCCAGTGGACGGCCTTCCTCCAGCCTCCACTACACATTCAGGCCAATCATGTGATCAAATCGTGACACTTGGTGCGCTAGATTGGGCTTGGTGGGTGGGTCACGGGACGCTCGGGGCAAGTAAACAGCTGCGAACAGCGGGTGTGGCCCTCCGTTGAACTGGCAACCGACACTCTGGAGGACACGCTAGTTGGAGCTTGGTTTCATGTCATCAGCCTATCTGCTGGTCATGTCATCATCAGGAACAGAAGGCAATGACATGACGACCATATCCACAGCTGTATCCAGCAGGTCGGGATGTGATGCCAGAAGTGTGTCAGTGGGTAGGGACAGGCTGTGGATGAAACAGAGAGACCGGCAGTTCGTCAAGAGATGCATGTCCGTGTGCGTAACTGCGTATAATGGAGCAAATCCGGTGAAAGAAGTTTAGTTTGGGCTTTATCAAATAAGGTTGATGGTCAATACGCCGCTTTAGACAGGTTTGGGGGATGCCGTAACGGTAGTACAGATGTATATAAGTGTACTTAATTCACTATAGTTCAGATGATCTCAACATTAGCGGGCTAGTACGAAGCTACATGGAAGGTTTCCGATCTTCCCTCGGATAAAGAGTAACAACTTCAAGTTATCTGAGAATGCAGATGTTTTGTATGCTCCGTAATTCATTTAGCTCGTGCCTAGGCACTGACTGCTACAGCATGTGCTGTGGCCGGAATGTTGTGGGACGCATACAGGCGTTTAAATGAGTGGGCCAGGGGGTTAAATTTTGACAGGCGATCCGTTTCAAGAAGTTAACAATTGCAAAAATGCGGCCCCGTACACAGTCATAGTCTCATAGATGCGAAGATAGTAGACCTTCCGTGCGGACGACAACGGCCACTCTATCGCACATTTGTCGGCAGGGAGCTTCATGGTTGGTAGGACTATGCGCTAGACGCAGTATAAAACAGAGGAGCCTTCGAGGGAGACAACTTGCCTGCCTGTCAAACCCACTCTATAGAGGAAATTTCAGTGCGAGCGTTTTTCTTCGAAGAAGCTATCATTTTTTGTAAGCCCTGTCAGATTAAGCGCAGCACACTCACGTTATGATTGTTGCCAGGCTATAACATCTCAAGCGGGCTGGCCCACCCATCCGGTTTAACTCGCTGGCATCAGCAGATCAGTCGAATGCCTGAGTTTTCGGAAGCTCTTGTAAGGTTATTTATTATGGCAAAACTAGGACACTGTAACGAGTCATGACTTCTCTCATACACACTGATCAGAACTATCGATCTGGATCCCTCGTGTAGTTCGTACGTGGTTGGTCGCTGCTGCATAAGACGCACGCTTAGCGACAGCTAGTTCTCCTACATTAGGCAAGGTACAGTTTCGGACATTTGCACACCAATCACTTATTGGGCCAAGCGGATTCGACGTCAATTAATTCAGCTTCAAGCTCACGGCTTGGGATGTACGGCTGCTGAACTCCTGTGCTGTCTACAGTCAATTAAGCAACGGCGATGATATTTTTCCATTTGATGGTCGACGTCTTGTGAGACTCCGGACAGTACTGCCTCAGGCAGCTATCGCTGGGACCTCTCTAGCTTGGATAAGATGGGTATGTAAACAATCGGCGATCTTGAAGGTGCATTGTTGTCCCCACTCATTGATCGACTTTGACACTTTGACACTCTGTCGACACCCAAGACGTCAGCTCGACTATTTGTCAAACATCTGATAAAGCTGGATTAGATCTGCTGCTTTATATTATCGTCAGCACTCATTTAAGGACTAGGCCTTGGTCAGTGAGCCGTAACCGAGCTCCTACATTGAGCTTCTCCACCAAGTGTTTTTTTTTTCGTCTTGTGGAGGCTTCAGCTACTGCAACTTGATCGTCTGGATGCGTTGCGACTGTAAGTAGCCGCCGGTATGGACGATCACCCAAAGACTCTTCCTCGTCCGTCAAGCGGCATTCCACGGTTGACAGCTTCTCGATTGCCTCTGCCGAAATCAACAGGACCCAAGTCCATCCGCCCCTCCCCATCCCGCGACCGATTACAAGCCGACCCTGGATTGGACCACAGCCGCCTTCGCCGACCATCATATGAGACGCTGCGAAAGCAGCCATCTATCTCCCGCCTATCCTTGCCTGCAAAGCAGGTCCTCAGACCATCCTCCAAGGGCAATGACACGACAACGCAACCCAGCCAAACACAATTCGCAGACATCAGCAACTTGTCCACTTATGACGGTCAAGACGATGGTCAGCTACACGAAGAAGACCGTGGTCGGCTTGAAGTACGGCCGTCTCTGTCGGACCGGACCAAAGAGACGATCGCGCAGATTCCGCCCTCCCCAGCCTCGGTGAGAAGACAATCCAGCTTCTTCAGCGGGGCCAGTCCAGCACGGTCACCCTCTCGGACACCCTCAAATGCATCCAGCTATTCAAGATCCCCGTCTCGATCGTCCAATGGTCAGTCAAACCCGGGCGATCTCCTTGCTCAGCCGGTGTCCAAGCTTCGTCTTCCTTTGCGCCCCCGCGCGTCGGTGCCTTCGGTCTCGTCTTTGGCATCACCTACGGGGACCGAGGCGGCGAAGAGCCCATCGAGGATCAAGGCGCCCTCATCGAGACCAAGCCTTGTCGGTAATGGCACATTAAGTCAGGATGCAGCATCAAGGAGGGCGATACCGATCAAGCCCATGGGAACAGGGAGCACGCTCCCTGCACCGTCCTCCGCGGGCCCTGCATTAGTCAAAAAGCCGTCGAGACCAGTCCTATCAGACATGGGACCTCCAGCGCGGCCGCTTCAGATCCGAAAGACGAGGGCCCCCGAGAACAACCCTTCTTCTACCATCAAAGCACCATCAAGCACCGCGCGTCACGTATCTGCTGCCTCCTCCGTGCTTGATGATCTGACACCCGAGCAGCAGGCGCAGAGCGAGGCACGAAAGGTGTCCAAGTCATCCAATGCGTTGCGGGACACTATCGCAAAAGCAAAAGCTGCACGGAAAGCAGCTGCTCAAGCTGCAAATGACAAGGACGCTGAGCCCACGGCGGCCATTGCTCCAAACAACGTGCGGGGAGCTACTGATGACGAGGATCCTTTCAATCAACTTCCCAAAGGATCCAACACTGCCGTCCTGAAGAAGCGCGTGGAAGGAGCTCGTGCATCAGGCACATTGAATATTGCAGCCTTGGGTCTCACAGAAATCCCGAAAGAGGTGATCAAAATGTACGAATTCGACGCTGAAAGCTCGTCAAATTGGTTCGAGAATGTGGATCTGGTCAAGTTCATTGCTGCTGACAATGAATTGACCACTATTGCCGACGAGGTCTTCCCTGACGTGGATCCCGCGAATTTCGACCCCGAGAGCGAGGAGCGTGGCCCTCAATTTTGTGGATTGGAAACGCTGGATCTCCACGGAAACAAGCTCTGTTCACTTCCCATGGGCATTCGACAGATCAATCAGCTACGGGTCTTGAATGTTTCGAATAATGATTTAACCTTGGATAATCTTGCGGTCATTTTGCAAATCACGTCCCTGGTAGATCTGAAATTAGCGGGCAACAGGCTAGATGGGGCCTTCTCACCGGCAATCGGCCAGTTACGCAGCTTGGAAAGCCTGGATCTGCGGAACAACACCCTTACTCGACTACCCGACGAGATGGTGAACTTGACGAGTTTAAAGGTCTTGGATGTCGGCGAGAACCAGTTTTCAAGTCTCCCATTTGATGCACTTAGCAAACTTCCGATCAAGACACTCAACGCCCCAAAGAACCAATTGCAAGGCACTTTGATCCCATCAACCGTAGATCAGCTTCCAGACCTCCAAGCTCTCAACGTCGCGAGCAACTCCTTGGACTCTCTTGCAGGCAATGATCAATTGTCACTGCCGAATCTGCACAGCCTTGTCGTGAATGTGAATCGCATCAAAAAATTGCCCTGTCTTACCACCTGGCAATCTCTTTCTACTCTCGTAGCTGGGGACAATCGATTGGAAGAGATCCCCAATGGATTCGTGGATCTCAAGGGCATCAGGGCTGCTGACTTTTCTGGAAATCACCTCACTCGCGTGGACGAGCGAATTGGGCTCATTGTCAGCCTTTCCAACTTTAGCATCTCCAATAACCCACTCCGAGAGCGAAAGTTGCTTAGCATGAGCTCGGACGACATACTACAGGATTTGCGCCGACGTTGCGAACCAGAGTCTGGGCCACAGGACACCGATGACGAGGGATCGGTAGCCACCCAATTCACACTTGCGCCTGAGACCCCAGTTAGTGAACACGGCTGGCGGCTGAAACCCGGAGGTGTTCTTGACCTTTCCCACTCTGATCTGGTAGAAGTCAGCCTGGACAAGCTAGGTGCGACCAACAGAGACGAAATTCGTTCCCTGTATTTGCAGCACAACGAATTGCGTATCCTACCTGCCCCAGCTCTGAAGATGGTTGCTTCCGGCCTGGTCGACCTTGATCTCTCCCACAACCCTCTCAACAGTGCAGAATTGCTTTCTTGTCGGCTCGAGCTGCCAAAACTTCAAAGTCTCAACTTGAGTGCCGCGGGCCTCAAGTCCATCGACCTCTTGTTGGAGAATCTGCTCGCCCCGACTTTGAACTTCCTCGACATATCAAACAACCGTCTCGCCGGGCCGCTTCCCCACATCAGACACTTTTTCCCGGGAGTCAAGACTTTTTTGGCCTCGGACAATCAGTTCTCCAAGGTGGAATTCGAGGCAGTTCAGGGCCTGCAGGTCCTCGACCTCAGCAACAACGACATCGACCATTTGCCCCCGAAAATCGGCTTACTAGGTGCGGAGCGGTCCCCTCGCAATTGGGGAGGAGGTGCTGCTTTGAGGAGATTCGAGGTCGCTGGCAATCGGTTCCGGGTTCCGCGATGGCAGATTGTAGCCAAGGGTACGGATGCTGTGCTAGAATTCCTCAAGGATCATATTCCAACGCAAGACTTGCCTGAGTGGGAGCATGAAGATGCAGCTTCTCGAGTCGACACATTTTGATTCTTATTTGACGTCTCCGGGCATCGGCGTTGGTATTGACACGGGCATTACATTTGCCGGTTTCATACTCTTCATCTTCACATTTATATCCATCTCTAGGCTGCATCGTGCGGATCAATATTGAGCAATTTGTACAAATACTGTTGTGTGACAGCAAACCTACTCCTATGAGAGAATGCTCGACATGATGAATTCGCAAGTATATTCACAGCGCTCGTATCGTATGAACTATGTTCTCTGTAATGCGCAAGGCCGATGTCAAGCCTTCACCAAGAATCTAATCACTACCAGCCACAGCATCGATGGACTTGCTCACTTCCTCCATGACCTTTGACCACGTTTTCGACCAGACAGTGAATTTGTCACTGCTACCCGTCGAATCATCTCTAGCGCCTCCGCCTACACTCCATGGAGCAGCAACCGAGTTCACGGCCTGAGTGGCGTGCTTTTGGATTTTCTTCAAATGTTCCGCCGCCTTGACCCAATTGCTTTCATATAACGCTCCGACCACCTCATCGACTTGCTCGGGGACATTTTGCAGGTGAATCATCAATGACTCGAGTTTCGCAACACCACCAGGTGCACACAAGGGTAGATCCCCGGCATTCTTCAGTCGGTTTGTGACAATAACAGGATAGACCTGGGCGACGGGCTTGAGGAACCGCAGCGTCGACTTCTTCTGCTCCTGCAGCGCGGCGTTCTCATCCTCCTCATCGCCCTCATCGTCGGACAGGTCCTCCTTCTCCTCACCCATCAAATCGTCGAAAAAGTCGTCATCGCCTTCGGGGTCCCACTCCTCAAGCTCTTCAACCGCATCCTTCACCAGATCGCGCCACTGCTCCACACGGCGCATCACAAATCCAACCACCCCCTTATTCGCAACTTCGCACACCTCATCACAAGCATCCCAGACTCGGCCCACTGCAACAGTAACCGCGTTCTTTGCAGTTTGCGTGAGATCCTCCTCTTTCTTTTTCGGATCAGCCGTCTTCGCGGCGTCCTTGTGTCCCGCAATTTCTTTCACGCTCTTGACCAGCGTGGCAAATTCCGTAAGCGTCGTCCGAACGAGAACCAGCACCTCCGAGTGAAATGCCTTGGTATATTCGGCGGGTGTCACCAGCAGCGCCGCGGTAACCAGCGAGGGAAGAACGGTCTCGTTGCATGCGCGCAGCACAGTAGTCACGGCGGAATGTGTAAACGGCGAGGTTATCGCCAGCAGTGATAGCTTTGTCACTTGGGCTTTCAGACTCGCAGCGGAATTGGCGAGCAGAGGTAAGGCGTTGTTGGAATTGGCGTCGACGTCGGCGCCTGCATCTTGGGGCGCGCTCGTCGTTGGAGTTGCGAGTGTGGCTTGGAATTGGTCCAGAAGAGTGAGTGTGGTCGATATGGTGACGGGGAATTTTTGGGCCATTTTTTTTTCAGTGTATACGTGGGCCGGGGGCTTGCCCTGCTGCGTTGTTGAGTAGAGGTTTTGGGAGGAGGGGGAAATGTTGTTGGGTATAGAGGGATTTTTTGGAGATAAAAATGTTGTCCGCGGGGCTCAGGTTCAGTGGTGGGGCGGGTTGACTCAATAAGGTGCCCGGCTCCCTCAGTAGGGCGAACGCTGCACAAGCTCACGTGGTTGTATGCAACAGTCACTCGACATGGTCCTTCTCGATGGAGATCTAGTTACGATCATATTGATTTGAATTTCGAGACAATCTTGACATTTGATTGTCATTGAGTCTTGAGTAGCTGTCGGCCAAGTAACTCTTCATGGGTGCCTGCTAAAACACCAAGGCAGGTAAGTCTATATATTCCGGACGAGGAATCAGGCCGAAGGTGAGGAAGCCCATTTGCAATACCTATTTACGTACATCCAACCTAATGCGAGCTCAAAGTCCCATCGATTGTCTCATTCCAATCTACATACCTTAGGTAAGGATAGAGTTGTTTATTCAGAGACGCGCTGGTTTGAAAAAGCTTCCAATTCAGTCAAGAATCCTTCCTTTTCGAACGCTCAGTTGTGATCGACTGGATACATCAGGTACTATGTCCTTTTGATATCTTGGTACCCATTGAACAACAGACTACGAGATAAATGGATATGACTTCAATCTTCACCTCGGATACAACCCTGTCCCCTCAAAGCCATTTGCTGCACCGGACAGCCATTTCTCACGTGAACCGAATCAACCAAACAGCTACGTAACCAACGCTTATTCCGCCTTGTTGATCTGAGGTCATCACCACATCTCTCAAACCAAAACCAGCAATCTGAGCAGTCAGCAGTCTGGTCCACGTCTCCTCACGGGAGGTGCTCATTAAGAAAAAGAAAGAAAAAAAAAAAAGACGAAGACAAGGAAGATGACTCTTTCCATCACATGCAATATATCATGGGTCCTGGCACCTTACAGTCAATATAGATTGCAACTATGACTTTATGACTTTATCTTCGCAGGACCGAGCAGTCATACTCAACCAAAAATCTTGATCTAAAAAGCAGACGTTGAACATGAAAACACGGGCCCCCACAGCACTGGAGAGGTGAGACCACCGCTAGCCGCATAGTTATGGCCTCGAATGTCAGGCACCACAGAAAGTCCACATCCACCGTCACAAGTCAAACTGATCAAACATCCCCCCAAAGCTTTCTAAGAGCTCGATGGTTCGCGGCCAACCACACATTCTCCCATGACATAGATTATGGGTACATCAAAGTCTCGTGCCTCTACAAAGGCTGCCAAATCTGCGCCTGCCATTCCCACGCGTCTCGTCCCCGAGAAGACCTTCGTCCTCGACAATGGCGCATACACGATGAAAGCAGGCTGGGCCTGTGATCCCTCCGTCCCCGCCGAAGAAGCCCTTTCCCACTGCGCCACGATACCCAACGCAATTGTCAAGACCCGCGACAATCGGATATGGACGGGTGCTCAGCTCAACACGCATGTCACGGACTGGAATGAAGCGGTGTTTCGCCGCCCCGTGGAGAAGGGGTTTATTGTCAATTGGGAGGCCCAGAGGGAGATATGGGACCAGACATTCTTCGAAGAGAAAGCCACCCCTCGGAACAAGCAGCTGCGGATCGCGAAGCCAGAAGAGACAACCCTGATTTTGACGGAGGCTCCCAATAACCTGCCGGTATTGCAGCGCAATACGGACGAGATGGTGATGGAGGAGTGGGGCTTTGGTGGCTATGCGCGATGCTTAGGTAGGTGATGTCTCGAGGAAAGCTGTTATTTTGAACGCTGGCGTCGCAGGATGCTGATCTCTTTCGTTTGTGATTCTTAAAGGCCCAACCCTGAACGCCTGGTGTGATGTCAACGCTCTATTCGGCGACCCCCTCACTAGAAGCGATGCCGAAGTCTCCCCCAAGGACTGTCTGCTTGTCGTGGATTCCGGATACTCACACACCACGGTCACTCCGGTCTACAAGGGTCAGCCTCTGCAGCGTGCCATTCGCCGGCTTGACGTCGGAGGCAAGCTTCTCACAAATTACCTGAAGGAGATCGTCTCCATGCGACAATACAACATGGTGGACGAGACATACATCATGAACGAGGTCAAGGAAGCGGTCTGCTTTATCAGCAATGACTTCATACACGACATGGAGAAAACGTGGAAGGCGAATCGAAAGCGCGAGGATGCTCAAAGCGTAGTCGTGGACTACGTGCTACCTGACCCCAATGCCAACAAAAAGGGATTCATGCGGCCCCATGATCCGCTGCTGCACGCAAAGAGGAAGAAGGGTGCTCTGTCAGGTCTCAGTCCTGAGGTGTTGTCTGAGGATGTCCTCGTTTTGGGCAATGAAAGGTTTACCGTTCCTGAGCTACTTTTCAGGCCCAGTGATATCGGCATGCAGCAGGCTGGAATACCTGACATGATTCTTCAAAGTCTTTCCGTCCTGCCTCCTGGCTTACATGCTGCCCTTCTTGCGAACGTCCTGGTGGTTGGCGGCAATTCCTGTATTCCAGGGTTTATGGATAGACTGTACGCGTCACGCACAACCCGAACAGCTATTCGAAACGGTGATTGAACCCTGCTAACGCAGCTTTTAGGGAAAACGACCTCCGAGCGATTACCTCCTCAGAATGCGTCGTCCGCGTCCGAAGAGCCGAGGAGTAAGCTGTCCTGTCCTTTCACCATTATGGGCTTTTTTTGTCTTCGGTGCCACTAACCTTGTCTCTCCTTAGTCCATTCCGCTCGGCCTGGCTTGGTGGCTCTCGATTCGCAAGTAATCGCGAGGAACTTGGCAAGGTGGTGATCACTCGGCAAGAGTATCAAGAATATGGATCTGGATGGGCTACTCGACGATTCGCTGGGCTGGTGTAGCGCGTGGTCGCGTGAATGAAGAACAAAGCTGCTCTCTGACACCATAATTGGAGAGTCTCGGAGGTCCTTCTATATCTCGATCTGCTTTTTGTTTTCCTTTGCATTATGATACCCTTTAGCATTTCGAATCATCCGTTTTACTATCTTCGTTATAACCGCTTAGTGCCTTTAACCTAAAGTATGACAAAGACGGCGTGGATGCTGCCAGGTCCAAACGAACCAGTACCAACATCTTGGGGAAAGGTTTGATGAAAGCGTACTTATTACTTAACGTAGTGCGTGTCATTACTATGTAAAAAGTGAACGTCGTGTGTGCAAGCCAGAGAGAAGGGAAAATACGTTCCAAAAAGAAATGCTCACTGTCGGATTCGAACCGACGATCTTCTGTTGTCCGTATGGTAATATACGAGACAGACGCCTTACCCCTTGGCCAAGCGAGCTTGTTGATGTCATTCCGTTCCAGTCGGCATACATGACAGGCAAGCTCGTATCTGGCCCCACTTAGAGTTCCTTCCCCAGCAAGACTCGCTCTGTGCTGGGTCGTCTGTGATCATTGATGGCATCTTCGCTTGTGGAAAGTCTACCAAGTGTATGGGGAACGTGTTGGGGCACACACTCTCGAATATAGTCTATTGTATTGATTAATTTCTATACTCTATTCTCTACAGTATTTGTAGCCCTCGAGTTAGACTGAGTCTTTCCACCGATGGGCGAGCGTACGGGACCAGACCAGTTTATATCTCTACGGCATGCTCTGAGAAAAGTCATTGCTTAGTGTTGTACTCGATAGTCATCCATACCATGCATTTTGGATAGTACTGGCTTATATACCACTTTTATTCACAGGATATAGTGCAAGGCGCAGACGTTTCAATATCACCTGCTGGATTTCAACCAATACGGCCACTCGCTCTACCTGGGGGAGAGAATCCATCACATAGCTACTTTGTGCTCGGCATGAATTCATCACCTAATTAATCGCTTAGAACAACCAAGCCTGTAGTGTTTGTGGAAGGCCATTGATGCCTTTCCCTCTCGTCCAATTAAATGGTGTAAAGTAAGATGGTATCTAAACATAAGGTACGGCTAAACCAATGCAATTTGATCGACAATGAAACCAATAACGCCATCGCTCGTCAAGCAGACCGACAACAGGTGAAGAACCCAGCACGAAATCAATCAGCGCGACGCTTCCAGAGCCCCAAGTGCACCTTCCGTTGCTCGTAGAATGGCATCTGCATGCACGCCACCAATCTTCCGTTCGTATATAGAAGCGGCCTTTTCCTCACGTAGTAATGCCTGAAACAACTTCCTTGTCTCCTGCCCAATTCTCCTGTTTCTGTCAACGGTTGTGTTGGGTGTGGTCACGCTGATTCCTGATTCAAGTTGTGGCTCTCCGGTCCATTCGTCCATGACCAGCACATTGGACAAAAGCACGCGAGGACCATTTCCATTCGCAACCGCAGGTTTGATCACCATGCCGCTGCGCCCCAGATGCGGGACAAGACCTCGAAGCTCCGTGGCTGAGATGATGCCGTCCGTGCTCTGTACGGAGGGCTGTATCGGCAGTTTCCCTGATTGAACCTTATGATTGGCTTCGATTCGAGCCCAAAGCCGGGCACGAGCTACTGATGCTTCCCAGTAGCGGTTGATGCCCCAGCATAAAGTGGCAACGTCCAAGGCGAGTAATGGATTCTCCAAACGGGCGTCAATCCATTGCCGAAGCGCAGTCGGGACTTTTCTCTTCTTGCTATCATTGCCAGTGGGAACCGAAACGGATGTAACATTCTGTGTCTCTGGATTCGTCTCGTAAACCACGGAAACATTGTAGAGCGAGGATGGGAATGGGGATGGCGCGGTGAAAGTCAGCGTGTGTGTCTCTAACAAGGATGCTGCTTTCGATGCCGTGCGACTGGCCGTAGCTCGAAGCGTCAACGGAGCGAACAAAGTAAGATAGGCTGCGGATTTGGAAGTATCTTTCAGGGCAAACGGATTTTTTGGCATGGATAATTCTGGAGACGATGGGCGGGGCATCCTCCCGCAAAATGGAAGAAGTGTACACAGGAGCGCAGAGATAGGGGCGCGAGGCCGTGGAGCTACTGGCTGGCTGATGTGGGTGGATTCCTCTTTGAGAAGGTTCAGCAACTTGCGAACCTCATCAGATTCATGAGACAGAATAAGACCCGAGTCAACCTTCTCAGTCCACTTGTTCATGTCGGCTACCTCGGACTTCAGCCGACGTAGCTCCGCCTCCAGTCCCTTTCGAGACTTTTGCTTCTCAACGACTGCAGCGGTCACATCCGCCAAAGGTGCTAATGCTGGAACGTTCTCAGAGGTCTCCTCTCGGGACGTCTGTGACTTCGAAATCTTCGCAGAGCCACCCAATAAAGAATCAGTGGCGGCTCTTTTCTTGCGTCTCTCTTGTCTAGAGCTCGGGCTGCTGCTCAAGAGGCCCCTCGGCCGACCTGGCGCCCTCTCCAGCCCAAGTTGCGTAGGAGTTGGGGGCAGGTCCGGCTCAAGAGTGTCATCGTCGCGCGAATAATCGGCATCGCCATAGTCAAAGCCCACATCTCCTCCCGCGTCCTCTTCCTGTATAGCCGTTCCCAAAGCGTGTTCAATTTGGTCTTCGGGAGAATTCAACAGACCTTGCAAAGGCTGTGTCTCGTTGCGAATCGGAGAGCCAAAAACAAAGTCTGCGGCTGAAATTTTTCGTGACAGTCGACGTGGAGGTTTGGAAAATGCTTGGATATTGCTAGGTCGTCTGCTGGGAGAAAGTAGCATTGGAGATCTTGAGGCTTGCGACCCTTTCAGAGGGCTCGACGGGTTCAATGACGGTCGAAGTGCTTTGCGACCGCGAAGACCCAAATTTCTCGCATCATCCTGAGAAAGGGTTTTCTCGGGGTTGCCTCGAATGGGTGATTGTCTGCTTGGTGACCTCCCGATCGCGCGCTCGAGTATCTCGGAATGTGATTTGGCCAGACTCGCCCTCGTGGGCGATTGATACGATGCGCGGCTCGGGGACCGTAGCAAAATTTGACTTGCGCCAATAGAGGGATTTATTGCTTCGCCAGTCCTCCGTCGCTTAGGAGGTGAGTCCATCGTTGTGTCGAGTTTGTATTTGTTGATTGTTTAATCTCAACCCGCGCGCCCGCATGCGGAGCGGGCGCATAAACAATAAAGTTTGCCGTGTTTGCACCTATGACTTAATCTCGCAGCAGCTCCGAGGTCTGTCGTTCGTTGATCTACTGATAGGTGACGATGAAACGCTTTGCGACAGGCGGGTGTACCTTCACAAGGGCTGTGGCCTTGGATAGCAATCTTGAATATATCTGGAGTCTTCGTGTTGCTGTTCGTCGTCACCATGCCTTCACTGCTACTTCCCGGCGCATGCGCACACACGATCAATCTGAGATACAAGGCAGCATCGAGTCTCCGACAAACGCCTCTTCAACGTCACAGGCACATTCATTGGGCGGCTACTACTCTCTCCTTCTGAAATCGCCTCTGCCGGTCGATCGCACAGCACCGCAGCTATCGCAATCAAGTACAAACACCGTCCCGGCATCCGCTTCCACAGCCGAGGCTCCTAAGGCCCAGACTCCGCAGGAGAAGATGGCTATTGTCTTCGGCACACGCCTTGCAGGACCCGGTCGTCAGTCTCGATACAATCCGGGCGAAGCACCACCACAGTCTATGTGGAAAACTATCAACGGGGTGCCAATTCCTCCTCAGCCCGAAGAACCTGAGAATTGTTGCATGAGTGGCTGTGTTCACTGTGTCTGGGATGATTTCCGCGATGAAATGGAGGAGTGGGCTGCCAGAATTGCAAAAGCCAAAGCCAAAGCTAGTCCAGAGGCAGATACTGAAGATGCTCGAACGGCGCCCCGAGCTGAAGTCAATTCAGCCAGTCTTAGTATGGATGATGACGGTGGTGGGAGTGAGACCAATTGGACTGTGCCGAACCCGGAGGATGACCTCTTTGCGAATATTCCAGTCGGCATTCGAGAATTCATGAAAACCGAGAAGAAACTACGAGTGAAACACCAGAAAGAAGCCTCAACATGAGCCGACAGGCAGCCGAACGGATACTGTTATTAGATGACATGGGATACACAATTTGAGTATTGTACATGAGCAAAGATGATCCCGGGATCGAAGACCTGTTTGATACACCCTTCGATACCAATGCAGATAGAGATTGTACATAGATCGTATTCACAGCTTCAGCATTTCCATATTCTCAAGTAGAGTTTGTGAGTCCTGTCTATCGAAACACTCCGTGTTGCGGAAGATACTGCATAAAGAAGTCGTTCTGAATGAATACCATGTTCTCGGCGAGTGGGATCGCCCGCCCCATGCTTCCCGTTGATGAAGTCCGTGCGCTCCGCCGCGCCGCACCGCAAGTTTCTCTTCGGTGCTGCTGCTGCTTCTTCTAGTCGAGAACAACCATTGTGTTCTTGAACATGCTCGAAGGCCATTGCCACACGAGATTGATCCAATGGACTTGGGGTCCATGAAAGTTGCCAGTCGAGGAATCAGCGCAGATGGACCGCTCACTTCGTTTCCGATTGTCCCCATACTGGCTCCCTAGCCCATCGTGAACCTCCCGCGACGTCCTGAAAATGACGCCCCAGACGAGGTCGGTTTCCCGATTACAATGTTTCAAACGAACGCCGCCACTGCGACGAGATGATTTCCGGGTCTATAGTAACCGCACATTCGGCTTGCAGCTTCATCTGATTAGCTGCGCGGGGAAGTCGAGTTGGGAATCCCCGATTACAGTAGCTCGCTGTCCACATGTGCGTCGTCTATCGAGCGTCACATTGCAGGCCACAATTTCACGTCATTCAAAACGGTCGCTTATGCCGTCCTGTGATGCCCACACTTTCTCTCACACCCTCAAGTCCAACTCGATCACCGCCGGAAATGTGGAGGTCAATACGCAGCTCGACACTGCGAGCAAGACTCGTCTCGACGGAGCTGCCATGGACGTGGAAGGTCAACACAGGATGTACAAGGAGGAGGTCCAACAATCATCCCACCTCAAGGACGAGATACAATTGTTGAAACATCTTTGGCATCGCAGAATCATCCGCATATCGAGAGATTTCAAAGTCTGGAACGATAGAAGTGAATCGAAATTCAGTATGAGCCTACGAATGCCGAACCAACGCGAGGACCGCACAGACATCAGACTCAGAGTCAGGGGTGAATCGGGTTCGACAAGCTTGGTATGGCCGCATTTCAGATCAAAAGGGTAGATTCGCGAAGCGTGATAGTGGCTAATCATGATTGAGTAGGACCAATTGAAGGTGGAAGCCTTCTCGTGTATGGTCTCGAAGCTAAAGGAAGAAGGACTATGGGACAAGCTGATCTCCGAAGAGCGTCCGCTTGCATCCAAGGAGGAGCCACCTTTGCCTGCGAAATTGAGTTTGTCTGATATCGCGGAGGACCAGCGCGTGGCAGACAATCCTGTCTTGAAAGATCAGGAAAAGCCCGAAGAACCGAGTCTCCTGCCATTCGAGCTGTGCCAAGATGACTTTAGGATATTTCACTCTCTCGAGCAGAAAAACTTTCTTCAGCATGACACTGAATTTTCAGGCAATCAATTTGAAGGTATGACATGCCTTGTGACTTGCTCGATTCCTGTCTTGAAGCAGGAGCTTCAAGTTGCAGGGCATGGAATGAGAAAGGTGCGTTCAGTAGCCAGTCTCTAGGGGACACGAAACTCGATCACTGCAGCAAGACAAACTAACGAGCAATGAATGGTCTTTCAGCGTGATGCTAAAAAGGAGGCAATCTATGGCTTGATTACAAGATTGCGAGAATCAGGTATCTGGGAGCAGCTGATTCAACGAGATCACATCAGAGCGACCGTCAACGATGATCTGCTATATATGATGCATTTTGGAACACAGACCTTGAACGATGCAAATGCCAAGCTACGGTCGTTGATGAAGGTACAAGCCAAGAACACCCGACCAATCCAAAGCGACAAGGGCACTTCGAACGCCTACAAAACCAAGAGGTCTGAGCAACTCGCCCAGTCTCTTCGAAAGTTCCGTCAATCTAAAGACCCCAAGGTGCTGGCGATCCAATCCGCAACCAGCACACTTCCTGTCAATGAACGCAAAGACGAGATTCTTGGTCTGATCAAGAAAGAGACGTACAGTATAATCGTGGCTGAAACAGGCTCTGGAAAATCTACGCAAGTGCCTCAATTGATTCTCAACGATGCTATCGAAGAGGGCAAAGGTGGTCATTGCAACGTACTTTGCATTCAACCACGACGTATTGCGGCTCGCATGCTAGCGCAACGTGTTGCTCATGAGAGACTTGAAAACATCGGTAACACAGTTGGCTATATGATACGATTTGGAATCAGACGGCCTGCCAAAGGTGGCAGTATTACTTATTGCACGACTGGGCTCGCTTTGAACATGCTTCAAGACAATCCCGAGCTTCTGAACTCATTCTCTCACATCATACTCGATGAGGTTCACGTGCGGGATATCGATATTGATTTTGTGATGTTACTCTTGAAAAGTCATATCGACAAATGTCGAGCAGCGGGCCAGCTCACGCCCAAGGTTGTGGTTATGAGTGCCACCGTCGATGTCGATCTCTTTGCTTCATACTTTAGTAACATCGATTCAGAGGGGAGGCCAACACCAGCGCCTCACGTTTCAATACCGGGTCGTCAATTCCACGTCAAATCACACTACTTGGACGATGTCATTACCAATTTGACTGATAGTCTCAAAGCAGATGTTCTCACCTGGTGTTTAAAAGAGCCAGCGACTGCCAAATTCTTGAAGAATCACTATCGCAATTTCGCACCCGAGGCCGAGGCCGAGGCTGAGGAAGCGCAAGACGAGCCAGAGGATGACGATCTTGGAGAGTCACCCCCTACTCTGGGAGGGAGTGACGCAGCAATACCTTTATCGCGACCCGCTGGGTTGAAGCAAGTCGATGATGCCTCTGTTGTTCCGACAGGCCTGATCGCCGCAGTCACGCATCATCTATTGAGCACAACTGACAGCGGTGCCATTTTGATTTTCTTGCCTGGTCTTAGCCAGATTATTGCTACTGAATCACAGATTCTCCAGGCAGCGGAAATGCTAGGCCTGGACTTTGCTGACGGGAACAAGTACAAGCTCCTAAAGCTGCACAGCAGCCTGCCGGAGGAGCTTGCGAATCTAGAGCGCGAGACGCCCGAAAGCTGCCGCAGGATACTGCTTGCAACGGATATTGCAGAAGCATCACTCACAATCCCTGATGTGAAATACGTGATTGATTCGGGCAAAGTGAACCAGTTGATGTACGATCCGTGGAGCCGGTCACATCAGATGAGCTGTTCGTGGGCGAGTCAATCAAGTACAGTCCAGCGAGCTGGGCGGGCAGGCCGAGTTCACGATGGAGATTACTTCTTTATGGGAAGCAAGGACTGCTTCGACTCGCTACGAGTCACGAAGTCCCCCGAGATTCTTCGAAGTGATCTTCAATCTGTCTGTCTGCGTGCGAAGCTGTCTAATCCATCTTCGACCATCCGTGAATTCCTGCAGCAAGCTATTGAGTCGCCTGAGATCACCGATATAGACATGGCTGTGACCTCGCTCAAGCAATTGCAGGCCCTGGACAGCAACGAAAAGATGACAAATCTCGGCTCCTTGGTCAGTCACATGCCGATACTTCCTCCGCATCTTGCCAAACTTGTTATCATGGGCGCCATTTTCCGATGCCTTGACCCTGTCTTGATCATAGCTACACTGGGACAGCAATCGAACTTCTTCTATCGGGGTAGCGACGACCAGCAGCGGCTCAACGCCTGGAATAACCAATCTGCATTTGCTGGACAAAGCTCAAGCGATCATCTCAGCACAGTCAATGCTTTCAAAGCTGTACGGTCTGTCTGGATCGAGGAAGGGTGGCGGGCCGCTCACAAGTTTGCGATCTCTAAGAATGTCTACCTTCCAGTCTATAGAGAGGCTTTCCTCACCTCCAATCAGATTCTGCGCCAGTTGGAACAAGCACAAATCGTCGACAAGTGGCTGTTGACCGGAAAGGACGCCGAGGGCCGCTTCGGAGGACCGAAGTTGAACGTCAACTCGAATAATGTGCCCTTGATCAAAGCGCTGCTGCTCCATTGTCTCTACCCTCGTTTGGCAGCCCCCAACCCCGACTCGAATTCGACCTTTGCCACTCAAACCGAGCAGAAAGCCGTTCTATTCTCGGGTAGCATGACGAAAACCGGTCGAAAGGCGCCTCGCGCACTGCTCGTCTTCAATCAGAAATTCATATGGGGAAAGCCTCCCCATATCACTGCATTCAAAGAAGCTTCGATTGTGACACCTCTTGCGGCGAGTCTGTTCGGTGGCCAAGTAACCGTACATCGCTCGTCAATGATTATGGATTCATGGTTGCGCATGGGCGTGGAAGTCCTTGACGCGGCCTCGACACCGAAGCAAGTGATTGATGACATGATCCTATTCAGGGAAGCACTGCACAAGGTAAGCATAATCCCACTAGCTGAATATTGACCTGACTTCAGCCCTTCATCACTCACTGAGCGTCCGCATTCGATAAGAATGACCATCTCATGCTAATACAAATATCACAAGGCCCTGAACACCGCATTCGAATCCTATCGAAGCGATTTCGAGATCCTGCAGAACAAGAAGACTCGAGGCACATTCTTCAATGCTCGCAGTGATTTCTGCATGAACCTACAGCAGGTCGTCACAGGAATACTGGATCGTGACTGTGACACAGCACGAGCAACTGCGCCTTCGGCGTGGAATGCTCATGACCTCAGTCATTATTCGGACTAAACATCCCACAGAACATATCCCTGCATACTTTGTACAATGTTCAGACATAATGTTTACATATAGCATTTGTATAATGTGCAAATACAATATCAGGAAGAGATATCTCGACTTTGATTCTAATTCCGCAGACTACATACAGTCAAAGGTACTTGCTACTTAGTACTTACAGCCTTACACCATTCCCGCAATTACTAGTCACAAGGTTTCACGGCCGCGCTTGCGCGGCCCTTCCCTTGTCGTACTTTCAGAACATGATATAGTATAATCGCAGAGATTTGCATTAGAAGCACTAGGAATAGGAGAATTACATTTGCCAGTTGGCGAGGATTATAGGCAGAGCCCGGCGATCTTACTACGGTGCGTAGAGGTTAGGAGTTTATCCCCGTGTCCGGTATATACCCTACTAAGCTAGGCCTACTATGAATACTACGATATAAAAGGTAGCTATCTATATATAAAACTTCTTAACCCTTAACGCCTAATAGTAGCCGTATAAGTTCCGGTACGCTTCTTTGTATCTAGAACAGAATCTCCTATATAATAAAAGGTTAGTATAACCTCTAATTATAATAGATCTTCTTTAGCTTTTTAGATCTCCGACGCCGCTTATACGACGCTAGTATAGGCTTATCTTATAAAGGGTCCTAGGCTAGGTACTTATAGTTAGTAATACTAAGGATAGTATCAGAATCGCTCGACGAATCTAGTATTAAGATATCGTCGTCTATAGCGACCTAGGCTACCGATAATAGTAAAACCTACGGCGGCGGAGATAGAGTACTATTAGGGGTAGAGGGTTAAGAAGATTATAATATAGAGGATAACTTACTAAATTCTATATTAGTAGCGTCCTCGGGCTTCTTAGGTAGAGAAGCTAATAGCCTAGTACCGACTACCGGACGTTATCGCTTCCCTAGTATAGTTAAAATAACTAGTTAAATCGAAGTAGCCCTAACCGCTAAAGTATTAGGTATAAAAGATATAGCTATAATAATTATATAGAGATACTCTATACCGTCGATAGCGTAATAACCTATCTAATCCCTAGAAACCTAGAGAAGGCGCCCGGCGGAGGGTATTAGGAAATTAGCCTAATATTAAATAGCTAGAAGTATATATATAATCTTAAAGATTATATACGATATAGTAGAGTCGTTACCGAGATATAGCTTTATAGTATTATAGATAGTTATCGATAGATAAAATTAGCGAAGGCTATCTAGATTAACTAAGCTACTAACGTAACTTCCGATAAAGGAGATAGAGCCGTTAAATATCGACGGGGTATAGGTATTATACTCGAGTAAGTTAGGGTTTCTGTAGAGTCTATATAAAATTAGTATTATATTAGTAGGAGAATAAAATAAGGAATATATAGTTATAGATAGACAGAATTAGCTAATTGGCGCGGACTAAGATATAAGGATATCCCGAACCTATAAGAAGAGGAGGCTCTATAGAAAGGATACCTTATACGAAGACTACTATACCTAGAATAAAGCTTAATTACTAGTAATTATAATAATTAATTAATATAGTAAGACTAGAGTCGTTATTAATAATATTCTTAAGATAAGAGTAGATCGGGCCCTAGTAAGAGGCTTTAATAAGTATCTTTATAGCTTTTAGATTAGTAGATATAGTATAAATTATAATTATTCCTATAAAGAAGTAGTATATATTAGCTAGTAGGATACTATTCGGAGATATTTTTATAGATATAGATAGAAAAAACCTAATATTTAAGAGATAGAGAGATAGAGAGGATAAAGAAAGTAGGATTAAAAAATCGGATAGTATAGATAATATATATCTTAAGTAGATTAATAATAAGCCGAGCGTAATATTAACTCGGGTAAGAGTTAAGTATAGATAATAATATTATCGCTTAAGAATATATAAGTATTAGAATATTATCGCTTAAGAGTATATAAAGATATTATAAATTATAAAAATTAAAATATATATAGAGATTAGTTAATTATCCTACGATTAAAAAGGGCTTAATATCTTAGGAAATATAATATTATTTATAGAACTATCCTAGTTATCCTCTATAAAGAGAGTACGTATATTCGATGCTATTATAGTCCGAGAGAATATAATTATAAGGGGACTCCCTTTATTAAAGTACCCTATTAGGTAATCCGTAGCCTAGTAATTATTAGGTAATCCGTAACCTACGATCCCGGCCTAGCTATATAATAATTAGGCGTTAGGCCCTCCCGTAGCTTCTAGGGAGCTAGGCTCCTAGGCCTCCTCTATCTAGCCTCAGACTCCTATTATCCTATATATTCTAACCCGAAGGATTATAACCTCTATAGTAGCTCTGTCCTACCTCTTTGGGTAGCTAATCGATCGATTAATCGATAGAAGAGGGAGTTAAGAGTAATCTTCTCGAGAGTATAGAGAGAGAGGACTATAAGATAGATATTAGAGAAGGAACTAGTAGGGATCCCTAAGAATTAGTCTTAATACTAATCTAACTACTATAAGCTATCTCTTCCCTAATAATTAAGTCTAGCTACTTTACTAAAGTAGCTATCTTAATAGTTCTAATTCTTCTCTCTATTATTACTATAAGAGATAGCGCCGCGAATCTATAGTTATACTAACGAACCCTAGGAACTATAAGTCTAGGAGATATTTAACTTAGAACCTAAGAATATCGAAGACTCCCTACTAGCCTCTCTAATCCTAACTATAAGGATCTTAAATACCTCTTCTATTAGTTAGGAAGCTTAAGGTCTCCTATCCCTTAATACCTATCTCGCTATAACCTAGAAAACTATTAATAAGCTAGAATAGCTAGCTAATCTATATTAGTAGCTAGCTACCCTCTAAGTATTATTAAGGGATAAAGAACTTAAGGAACCCCTTTCTACTTAGCGCTATATATCTCCCGATTATCTTAATATAGATATAGTTAGGGAAAAGGAAATTAAACTTACGAATATCCTCCTATTTATAAAAGAATTTAATCTCTAGAAGTATTAGAAGTAGCTACTCGATCTCTATTAGTAATTCGAGAAAGCCCTAAAGAAATACTATATAGAGAAGTATAAGATTATCGGGGCCCTTACTTATATAGATACTATCTACTATTAGTAATAGTATTAATACTATAGAGAGAAGAGAGCTACTTATTCCTAGCTAATTAAAGAAGATTAGGAATACTTTAAGTAGTAGATCCTTATACTTATTAAATACTACTAGCCTAGAATCTAAGATTATAGCTTAGCTTAAAAGGATATACTAATATTATAATAAGGATCCGAGAGAGTTCTATATATAATTAGATATCCTAGAGTAATACTTCCTATAAGTCCTCGAGAAGGAGTAATCCCTTTTATACTTCGCGAAGCTATAATATAATCTATAGTATATTATTTAACTATACTAGATTAAGCTCCTAGAGATCTAGGATAAGATAATCGATATAATCTACTACTACTAGGAAATTTAGTCTCTAGGCCCTAAGAAATAAAAGAGTACTAATAACTAGCTAGCTATCTCCCGAGATAATAAGAGGACTAGAGACTAATATAACTCCCGCGACTCTTATAATCCTATAAAAGAGTCTAAGGATCGGAAGCCTTATAATAGCCCTAAGTATAAGGGCTAATATAATAGTAAGAAGAATTATATTAGTAATAATAGGAAGAGAAATATCTACTTTACTTATAGAAATAAGAAATATTATATATATAACTATCCTAAGAAAGAGAAGACTATCTAATTAGCTACTTAGGGAAAAGTTACCGAGATAGAGTAGATCTCCCCTCTCTATCTCTAAATCTTATAGGGACTTAAATATACTTTAATATCGATATTATAGTCTAGGATATCCTCTATATCTATATAGATTTTAATAGTAGAGCCGAGGTAGATCTTATTAACTAGAGTTTTATTTAATAGTATAAATTCTAAAACGCGAAGCTTATAGCTTCCTTAATTAACGCTATTAACTAATAAGAGACTCCTATCTATAGAGTCTAGTATATTCCTATCTAGGCTATAGACTCTCGAGATATAATCTATTAGTTTATCTAATCCTATATCGTAATTAACTATAATCTACGACTTAGTAGTAGTCCTATACTACTCTCTATAACTACCCTCTATAACCTCGATATCTATCTCTTAGATAAGGACTAGTATTAGTAGTTTAGTACTCTAATCTTCGAAGTCCTTAGTCCTAAGAGATTTACTAAGGCCTCTAGAAACGAAGCCTATATCTTTATAGTAGTCTATCTATCTAAGACTAAAGAGATCTAGCTTCCTATTAATAAGGAACCTAAAGCTATGCCTAAGTCTCTCGAACTTCTTCCTAAATTAGAGGACTATCGAGGATTCTTCTTCTCTACTAGCTTAAAGACCCTATCTTCCTCTAACTAATATAACTACTCTATTAATCTACTTCTAGATATAAAGGTACTATTTAGTCTTATCTATCCTCTCTCTTAAAAGGAATTAGGCGAACTAAAACGCTATATTAATAAAAATCTAGTAAATAGCTAGATTTAACCCTCTAAGAGCCCTATAGAAGTACTTATTCTATTTATCCCTAAAATAGATAGATCCCTATAACTCTATATCGACTACTAAGGACTTAATAAGATATCGGTAAAGAACTAAGATCCTCTTTCTCTTATATCAGAAATCCTAGACTATCTAGCTAATATAAAGTACTATAGTAAGATTAATATCTAAGATATATACTATCGGATCCGGATTAAGAAAGGAGATAAGTAGAAGATAGCCTTCTAGATCTAATATAGATACTTTAAGTATATTATTATATTATTTAGGCTTACTAATATACTAGCTATCTTCTAAAACTATATCTATACTATACTATATAATATCCTTAATATATATACTATAGTATATCTAGATAATATCCTAATCTTCTTAAAATCTAAGAAGGAATATATAATATATCTCTATAATATTATCTCTTATCTCTAGGAAGCTAGCCTATATACTAAGACTTCTAA